AACTCTTAGCATCAGTCACATCACATTCAACACACTGCGGATGTGTCTTGTGCAATCTTATGACTTGTCTTGTATCGGTAACTTCATATTAAGATGTATCAGTGATACTTTTCTGAAGCTTTTCTTTGAGTCCATGTCGCCCTGCCTTCATGTGACGAGGGTTTAGTTTGTCACAAAAGGAACTATTGAGTGAAAATAAGATTCCTCATAGCTTTATTAAGGATTCAGAATTTGCCCTAGAATACACCATTGGAAATGTAAAGGGTGTCTCTGGTTTTAACAAGTTAGGAAAAGCATAAATCCAAAATTCCTCACAGGCAACGACAACCCAACACAGAACCAACATCTCACTAAATTAATGCAGGAAACTGGAGGACTCTCGACCTAAACAGGAGCAAAGATCCAGAAACAAACAGTGATGTTGGGAGGCAAATGAGCCCCTTTGTATTAAATATATGGCAGACAGTGTGTCAAACACAAAAACGATCTTTAAATTGAAGATTCATGTTGACTGCGCATTAAAAAAAAACAGTTTCAAAGATTCAGATATCAGTTAGATTTATTGCCTGTCTCGGTTTATAAACGCCAATAATCTTTTAATTGTGAGTATAAGAGAGACAGAGTGTTCTCTGGTGGTGAAGAGTGATGTGATGGTTGCGTGTGTGTGTGCGTGCGTGTGTGTGTGTAGGGGGTGGGGGTGTGTGTGTGCAGGAAATCTGTGGGATTTACAGTTTAATCTGCTTAGGCACTTCCCTGTCGGCCGGCCTGCAGACTGTGGCTGAGAGCGCTACGTGCTAGCTTAGCGCAGCTGTCAGGAGCTGCCTGCCACCAGATCAATACCGCTCTTTTTCTACCTCTCCGAGTGTCTCTCTCATGCCCCCCCCCCAGCCTCAGTTGAATCAATGAGTCCTGAGGCTGATTAGCAGGTTCAAGTGCAGGTCGTTCACATAGCCAGAGGACGTTTTTTACAGATCCAGACTCACTGAGTGTGAGAATGCTGATGATGTCTGCAGCTAATGCTCATGTGGTGGCTAAATGCTAATTTTAAACACATTACACTCATGTTTGTATTAAACAGAGCTTATCAACTCTTCAGCCTGGGATGTTTACCATTCAGAACGTGTGCTTACTTTGCTTTAGATCTGTGAAGATTTGGACCAGGGTCAAGGTCTTTATTCACCTCTCTCTTGAACCTGGGAAGACCACTTTGGGGGACTTTAGCCTCTGTACTTGGGTGGCGTGCACAGACCGCAAGTCTACCGGCATCCCCCACACTTCTTTAGTTTGATGGCCTGTTGTCGATCAGTGACTGCATCTGGATTCTGGTGGATCGATCATATCAGGCTCATAGTTATCTTCTGTGTTCTCAGATCAGATTTGAGTTGGTGTGATTACTGTGGAGGAGTCTGTCGTCTCTCACCTGGGAGGTCGAGGGTTCGATCCCCAGTCCCAGCCGGACAGTTCATGTCTGATATTCTCTTGTGTGTAAGACACTTAACCCCAAGCTGCTCATGCTGCTTTGTTGGCCGCGTGTGAATGTGTAGGTGTGACCTGCAGTGTGAAAACGTGTTGAGTAGTCAGAAGACGAGAAAAGAAAAATAGTATCTGATACCAAAACATTTCGGTTCAGATTATTGAGAGGAAATGTGCTGCAGTCCGTCTGCTAAACATGGTCAGGCTGCTGAAGTGGGGGGGTTGATGTGGAAACAGTTCAATAGCACTATTAAAAAGTGGATGAGCGACTATCTTTTTTAGCTCCGCGTCATTCTTGTATTTTATTTAAATGTGCAGCGTTTCAGCTGGTGTTGATTTATTTTTAGTCTTCCTGGGTGTCGCGGCTCAGCTGGTTGTTTGGCATGTTAGTAGGTTTGTGTAATAATGTGAAACTAAAGATCTAATCAATCTTTGTGAAGTCAAATTGGTTCAAAAATAATAATCCATAATCCGTCATCTTCACTAGAAAAGGTCGATGTTTTGGCTCTGGTAGCGCACACCCCATGTATGGAGATTATAGTCCTCCAAGCGGGCGACCAGGGTTCAAATCCGACCTGTAGCTCCTTTCCCCGCAAGTCATTCCCTTACTCTCTTACTTTCAAACTTTTCAGCACAGAAACAAATCGAGTCGATGATCAGAAACTGTCTTTGTGTGGTGTGTCTGCTTTGAGTCGACGTCGTGCACACTGAGAGGACTCTGTGTGTGTTTCTACTCCTCTGATGATCACTGAATTCACTATGAATGAAACCCCCTCTGAGCCTCACACCAACAGAAATCCAATAGCACCTCCAAGTGGTCAAAGAGCTCCATGACAAGCTGTACTTCAGTTTCTATATTTTCTGTTGGAATACAATGTTTCCATCAACTTTTAATTCAGCTTCTGATGATTTGTTCGACTCTGTGTTCATTAATTCTGTCTAAAAACACAGATTCACATGACGTCCATCACTGCATTTGTTTCAGAAAACACAGCTTGCATCACATCCTGCAGACTTTAACAGGAAGGTACACTCCTTTAAATTAAGAAAAATATCAGTACTTACTGTGAGACCCGTCTGCAGCTCATTCTTCCTGTCTCTAATGTCGTCATGAAAATCCAAACAGAGCAGCTGGATGTTGGAGCATCTGTAAAAATCATCCAATGTAGCTCAGATCCAATTTGCAAATAACACATTTCCCTCGTGTTTTCACAACCCTGATGTGCTGGAACCAATCACAAAAAGAGGAGTCTGAAGGCCTAAAACTTGCAGATAATCACTTAAGGCAGATGATTGTCCACCCAGCTCCTGTTTCTGCTCAACGTTTCTGCCCATCAAAAGAAATTCTTACTCGGAAGTGTTGCCAAGTGTTTGTCTAAAGTGGAATCACTGAGTCTCTCTCAGCCATTATTTTAAGGACATTTAGATTTTGTCACAGTTCTGTTCCTCAGCTCACCTGCCCTTACTTGGTAATTCTTCTTTTGTATTTCCAGCAGACTAGATGCCTGATGGCACATCTCTCAGTCGGGACCTGGTACTGTACGTTTTTTGAAATATTTTAATTTGTAGAAGAATAATCCTGTTGAGGAAATAAAGTCCAGGACTGCTTCCACAATCTGTGTCTGGAGTTCAGATGGATTTAATAGTTGTTCCAAAGGTACTGTTTCTGTTTGTATTCCAGTGAATGATACAGCCGTGTATAGTTGGCTGCTTGTATAGGTTACAATCCATCAGTATAGGTCTTACAGTTTGCAGGTTCTGCAGAGTCCATCCTCGTGTTTTCCCATCTTTGCCAGATCCCATGCAATCCCTCAGTGACCTCTCAGTCTCAAATACAGCGTGCCTTCTTTCTTTGCCCAAATAGCATTGCTCTGTTTTTACACTACTTTTTATTGAGAGGTAATGACAACCCCTCTTTTCATTCTTCCACTGTCCTCACTCATGTTCCTCTAACCTCACCTCTGCTCCTCTCTGCCCATTGGCCCCGCCCATCTCATCATCTGCTCACTCCTCTCACCTGTGCACACAGCTGCATCTCATCTACAATGAAGCCAGTATATAAGTCTCTCCTGTTCACTCACTCTTTGCCAGGTTGTCCTTTGTTCCCCCATGCGAGATGCTGCTGCATGGCAGAACATATTTATTGGACTGATTAACTTTTTGTCGACCGAGTCTCCAGATCAAGCCAGAACTCTCAGTGTAGTTATGAACTCAGCCACTTTCACAGAATCAGAATCAGCCTATTTACCATTAAAAATAAAGAAAGAATCAAAGGATTTCTGTTTGAAGAAGAAATAAAGAAATGTGTGCATGCTTTTGTTTTTCGCAGGTTTGATTATCATGGCTGTGTCTTCACAGGTCCAGCAGCAGCTCATACAGAACGCTGCTGTCAGATTCCTCACCAACACACACATCACACCAGTCATCAGATCTGTACACCGGCATCCTGTGAGTGAAACGATAGACTTTTAAAATCCTGCTCCCTTTAGTAGCACTTAATAGTCTTGGCCCAAAATACCTATCAGCTACCTGCTAGTCCCTTACAAGGCATCCAGACCCCTCAGATACTCCAGGACAGGTTTCCTTTCTGTTCCCAGAATGTTAACCAATCAGGGCGAGGCTTATTTTAATTTCAAAGGCCATGACCTGTGGAACAGTCTGCCTCGTTGTTATCCTGGAAATCACGCTTGCCGTCAGTCCCTGACTATAAGTTCTACGTCTGAGATGTTGGTTTGTTCGTCTTTCCCGTTGGCTGCTTGATGTTTCTCTGAAGAAAAAAAAACACTGGAGACTGACTTCCTGGTTATTTACTTGTGGATCTCTGCAGTGGCTCAGATTCTCTTCCATCTTGCCACATTTGTGTTAACGATCTGTGACTTCTTTCCTGCGGTCTCCAAAACCTTTGCCTGGCCCTGATTTACCTTCTGCTCCCTCTTCACCGACTTAACAGCTTCACCTACGTGAGCACCTGGATTTGAACCCCTCCTTACAGCTTCCTAACAGACCTGTTGCCCTGTTACAAACATTTACAGGAGTGTGTGTGTGTGTTTGTGTTACCGCAGCTTTCAACAGTTATCGTTCAGCCTCGTCATCAAACTGTACTGTAATTAATCTCAGTCTTTCTTCCTCTACCTGCTCAATTTGAGTTTTTTACAAACAATTCCTGCTCTCAACTGTGCAAATATAACAAGATGCAGTATTTCTTTTTTCTGGAAGCACCTCGTCAGTCATGCTTTTTTGTTTCTGTCATCGTGTCTCATACTACGTCTATTTAAATATCTAATGTACATGTACAACAGCACATCCATCCATCCATTTTCTTCCGTTTATCCGAGGTTTGGTCGCAGTGGAAGCAGGTAAAGTATGTCAACCTAGACCTCGCTCTCCCCAGCAACGTGTTCCTGCTCCTCCTGGGGGGTTCAGAGGCGTTCCCAGGCCAGACGAGATATAAAGACCCTCCAGCGAGCTCCGGGTCTACCCTGACACAGTAAACAGTAAAATAAGTATTTTACACTCTGACACAAAGATGTTTTGGGAATTTGGGGGATTTATTGATAATATATTATCAAGTAGAAAACAGTTATAGTTCAAGAAAAAGTCGACAGAACACAAGTTAGTAGGAGGGATCATGTGACTGTTGATGTCTGATAACAAGCAGCTACACTAGTCCACTACTGTGCCTGATCAGAATCTGCACTGAGGTTTATTTCCCTTTGAGAGGAGCTAAATCTGCTTCATGTTTTTGTATCATCACTAAGCGAGTACAGAACACCCTAAAAGACACCTACACACATGAATTAAACACCAGAGCTATAGTGTGTTTACATAGCAGGACAGACAGTCTAAGCTTTTTTTAATTTTTTTTTTATCGACAGCTAACATGTAAACTTTCACTTCAGGCTTTCATTTTGTCCGAGCTCTCCCCTTCTGTGCTCTCTCCTCCTCTGCCGCCAAAGCGCCGGCTCAGCTCTGATGTCACCACGGAGCAGCAGGATTTCTGAAAAGAAAAAAATGAAATACATCAGAAAGTATCAGGACACAGATTTTAAACTTTGGGCGTGGCAGCAGATACGCTAACACTGAAGTAAAACAGATACATGTATCGTCTTACTTTGCCATCCTTGGCCTGGTTTCGGGCTTTCGACAGGAGCTCCAGCAGAGCCAGAAGGAGTCCCACTCCCAGTCCCAGGCCCAGCAGGAGGAAGAGGCCCTGCAGGTTGTTGGAGTGCAGGGCCTAAATACATCAGAAAGTATCAGGACACAGATTTTAAACTTTGGGCGTGGCAGCAGATACGCTAACACTGAAGTAAAACAGATACATGTATCGTCTTACTTTGCCATCCTTGGCCTGGTTTCGGGCTTTCGACAGGAGCTCCAGCAGAGCCAGAAGGAGTCCCACTCCCAGTCCCAGGCCCAGCAGGAGGAAGAGGCCCTGCAGGTTGTTGGAGTGCAGGGCCTCTGAGGCGGGGGTCCTGACTGCGCCTACACAGCTGCTGGCCCACCACTTGTCCCTCAGGTACGTCAGCTCTCCGGACTCGCTGAGCTTCAGGATGGCCAAGGTCAAGTTTTTAACCAGAGGGGAACCTGGTGGAGCAAAGAACCGGGGTGTGATGGAACTTATCATTGTAAACAAGACAACATGACTTCCTGTTCAAACACATCCTGAATTCTCTGGCAACAAAACTCCTGACAGATCATCACAACTCACCCAGAGGTGCAGCGATGGAGTACGCCCTCATGGCGATGACTTCCTGTGAGCGGGTCAGTGTGCAGTAACGAGCCACAGCCAGGTCCAGAGACACCGCCTCCCCGATGAAGGCAAAGTTCCCCTCCTGAGTCCGGCGGACCCCCTCCTCCATGCTGGCCGCGAAGCTCTTCTTACGTTCCATGTTCTGGTAGATCCGCCGGTGCACCGGGTTGTTGGAAGACTGTTGAAAGCAAACTATTTTAAGTTCCAGTCCATTCATGAACTGATCTCAGACTTTACGAGGCAGCGGAGATGACTGAAAGCTTTGTGTCAGAAGTTTGAACGTGCCTTAAAGAAGCCCATGGTGGACCCCCCCTCCACTGTGCCGTATTCGATCACATCCTGGTTGGCCAGGTCCTCAAAGCTCTTGATGGAGACATGCTTCTGCTTTGAGTGCAGCATGGAGTTCAGGTTGCCGAAGTAGCAGGCCAGCAGCAGTACAGCAAACAGCCACCAGATGGCGCTGACGAGTCGTCCTGACAGAGCTTTGGGGTGAGGACCGGCACCTGAGAGGAGCCAGACAAATGTGAAGGTTTAATTGAAAAGCACAGTATTTAAAAGAAAAGGAGGAGGGCAGTGTGTTTGTGCTCTGCGTGCGGCTCGGTTCAGAGCACGCCGTTGTGTCACCTTGCAGAGTCAGAGCTCCTGTGATGTACCAGAAGCTGTGCAGCAGAGTGAAGCTGTGCTGCTCTGAGTCCGTCTCTGACCATTCACAGGGACTGATCCTGCACAGAAACAACATCAGAACAACATCCACCAAAGTGACAGAGAAAACAGATATTACCGTCTTTTAGGGCTTTTAAGTGTTTAAACTCAAAGTGATGTGCAAAGGACCAACCAGGCCGACCCAATTTCATTTTATTTATCTATACCACTTTCTCCTGTTTGGGAGGAAGCCGGAGTACCAACATGCAGACTCCACACAGAGAGGAGACTGTCAGATGAGGATTCAAACCAGGAACCTCCAGCGCTGACCACAGCACCACCAGGCATGCTTCATTTATATATTTCACACACACACAAATATGTATGTATAAAATACAGCCATACTTGACTGTCATTAATTATAAAATAATCACATTATCACAGACGTTCTGAGAACTCATCAAACTCCATCTTGTGTTTTTCTATCAAATGATCCTGAACCCTCTGAGACATTATTGAGGTGTCTTCGGCCCTGTTCCTACCACTCTGTAAAAATGACGAGCATTCTGAGAGTTTTGTGAGGAACACGTTGATATTTGCACTTACCTGCCAACCAGGAAAATGCAGACCCCCGTGAGCAGAAAGGCGATGAGCACACCGAACCACATGTCAGTGGAGAAAGGAGACAGCAGACTGAAGCTGCTCTCCTCAGAGGCCGCGTCGCTGCGCAGGATGAAGCCGATCCCCGTCTGCATGAAGGGCGTGGTCATGTCCACAAACTGCTCTCTGGTCGCTGTGAGGGTCAGCGGGGCCACGGCCAGGTCCGCGTCCTGATGGAGGGAACACAAACACAAAGGAGAAAACATGTTTTAAGGTTCATATCACTTATGTTTGACAGAAATCATCAGATGTGTTCCTTTTAGATTTCTTTGTATTTCAGCATTTGCTTTGTAAACAATAATAATGTAAATAGATAAGGGAAGTACGGAAGCCCAGAGATGCCATTCAGAAAGAAAATCTGTTATTTGTCATTGTTTACTTGTTTATTCACCTTAAAGGTCACATATGATGCTAAATCCACTTCCCTATGTTCCTCTAACTCTAACATGTGTCTCTAGTCTGTCTACAAACCCCCAATCATGAGTAAAGTCCATCCTCTCCGTCTTCTGCCTGCTCCACTTTTCTGAAAATGTGTGCTCAAACAGGCCGTTTGGAGATTTACCCTTCATGACATCACAAAGGGCAGTAGCCCCTCCCCCAGGTGGGTGACACCCCCACAGCTAGGTGTTTGTTCTGCCCTCTGAGTCTGCCTTCTCACCGTAAACAATAGGGTATGGCGCCAGAAAGACCGAGTACACCCAGAGAGGGGGCGTGGACACAGCTCATTTACATATTTAAAGGTACAGACACAGAAACAGCCTATTCTGAGTAGGGCTGAAATAGAGGGGTTTATAGGCATGATCAAACACAGGATCAGAGTGGGTTTAGAACTGTACAGCTGCATGGCAACTTACCCCCCTGATGACCTCTCCGATCATGCCGTTCCAGTTCCCGCTGGGGTCTATGGCTCCGTAGCGGTTGTCCTTCACCAGATGGGTTTTGTACCTGAAGCCCAGTTTCTTGGAGAGCTCAGAGATCAGGTCGATACAGTAACCCTCCAGCCCGGAGCCTTTACTCATCGCGTATGGATCCTCCTGTGGAAGACAGAAGAACAACTTTAACAATGGAGGGTCAGAGGTCACTGAAGCAGCAAAGGTGATAAAAACACTTTGAAGATGAAGAGGTTGTGTATTTTAGAAAAGATCAAATGGATTCAGTAATCAACAGATGCATCTGGGTGGAATATTTTACATTAAATCTTAATAACTGAACTATGCTTGAATTTAAATGTGGAAAAAGGTTTAAAAAACTTGACGGACTGTAGAGCACAGAGTTCACAGGATGGACAGCCTCATAGTCATTTGTAGAACTGTAGAAATGACAGATAGCTCTCTGAGTTAAAAGATGTTTTGTTGTTCTTAAAGGTCCAATCAGTGAGACCTGTAGTGAGTGAGATGATAAAGGTACCTTACTATATGATCAGACATTAAGGAAACATGCTATGTTGAAGTGCTGGCTTCTCTGACAACAATGCAGCAGCCAGTAATGTCCTCCTTCTAACTTTAGATTCTGGTCCTGAATGATCTGGATTTGTTTGGACCAGAGAAGGTAGGCGGTTTTAAGACCCCCCACACGGCCGTTTTGGTTTCCCTCGGTTTGCTAGGTTTGATATGACGACAAACCAACAGGTGTTGCTGTTGTACTAGAAGGTTGATTCTCTAAATGACTAACCATCTCGTCTGATCACTAGACTTTCTGTTTTTGTTTTTTTTTACCTTTAAGACTTTCTTTAGTTCTGTAAAAGTTCTTAGAAATGGTCAGAAATGATGGCTGATTAAAAAACGAGACCTTTTCTTCTTCACAAAGACTTGATTGAGCCATAATGACAGCTTCACAGCTGTTGGACGCCGCCGCCACCCTGGCCTTCTACACTAAAGACAGACAGAGAAAGAATACCTTTATGGTGGTGATGGATAACTCCTTGGCATCTGGAATGGAAAAAAAAAAACAAGCACAATAAATTCTGGATGTTGTAACTCAGTGAGTTAACATAATCAAGCATGAATATCAGCACAGATGAGAGAGGATTTGGTCTGAGCCAGTTCTTTGGCTGATTAGTGGTTTGGTTTGATGTCTGCAGACTTATGTGCAGAGCGCCCCTGCTGAAACCTAATGAAGTATTTTGTTTCTTTCAGTCCCTTCATGTGTTTTTCTCTCAGCCGCCGCAGTAAATAAGCCAAACAGCCAGCGGAGGACAAAGGCAGCGTTGTTGTCGCCTGTTTTTCAGGAGACTTGGAGAAAAGAGTCTTAGGTTCAAACTGGGCCCCTGTTGAGGGGATCAAAGCAGGGACCATCTATAAAAGATGTTTTTCACTCAAAAGCTAACCTCCTGGTTCTTATAAATGTGCCAAAAATGGCAGTTCCTCCAGTGTCCACTAGAGTCTGTCTCCTGCAGTGAGTCAGTCCCCATAGAGCCCCATGTTAAAATAAACATGTTTACAGCCTGGTACAAAAACAGTTTGGGTCTCTTTATGACAACTGTACTGTCTGAATGTTTATACTACTCACCTGTTTACATCATATTAAGGCTTAAAGTGATGTAGAATTAGGGGGCGTGGCCTCTTCGAGTGACAGGAGTGAAAAGTAAACAACAGTGATCAGCTGCAATCACACACAGATTTATCAGTCATTAACCAGTTTATTTGAAAGCTAATGAATTAGCCACATAGCTTGGTGTTTGCTAACACCTCATCTCCCTAGCTCCACCCTCTCCTCCATATATGGTCACTTCTGGCTCTAGAACAACCAACATGGCAGCGGCCAACATTTGAAACTCATAGCTTCCAAAAGGCAGTTGCTAAACCAATGGGTGACATCATATTGGCTACGTCCAATATTTAAACAGTCTTTGGTTTCACCATTATCCTTCAATCCTCTGTCCATCAAGTAGCCAAAGCAGGGGATGACCCCCCTCCCACCCCCCACCCACTCCCACACATTACCCCTGACATCCAGAGTTGTTTTCTTTTTGGTATAACTGTGACCAATGGCATTCCCAGCATGTCCAGCAGGCCCTAACATGCCCTGCCAGGGTCGCTCAGAGAAAGGAGGGGGGGGCAGAGCGGAGGTGCCAGGGGTGCAAGTTCATTATAACTGCATTTGTTGACAAAAGCAGGCCCCGGTGGGGTCATATAAAGCCCATGACATCCCATCAGCCCCCCTCCAGAGAGGATGGCAGGACCTACGATGTGCGGAGATGCCTGTCAGTTCACGGCCCCCTCCCCCACCCCTCAACGATTAATTGATTTATCACAGTGCTTTCTGGACCGCAGCACGGCAGCAGCCCCTCCACTGGTGAGAAATGGGACGCTGCCACAGAGGACGACGCCCCCCTCTGTGCTTTGTAAGGACTCCAGTTGTCCAGCAGGGCCGGCGGAGGGAGACAGTCTAATGTGACCAATGATTTGGGAGCATGACCCCGGTCTCATGGGTCAGCCAGAGCCCACAGAGCTTTGACTCTGCAGACAGCCAGCAGGGACAGGCCTGCCCCGGAGGAAGGGATCATCCCATCGGCCGAATGAAAACTGAGAGACTGAAGAAGACATTTAATTTGGGATCTGCCTACTTAATCGCATCTCGAACGCAATCAGTAACTGTGTCAGTTGAAGGCTGAAATAAATCTGTCCAATCATCTTACAGGTATTGGAGGATTTACCTGCCTGTCTACCAGCGTGCTCTCTGCACATGCACTCATTTCAAATAAGCTGACCCTTCAAAAGCAGCCCGGTAGACAATCAGGTTTTGAGATTTTAATCATTTTGAACTTGATTCAATCGACAATTAATGACATTTTGGAGCTGTAAGCTTTGCTCTGCTAAATTCTGCAATAATTAACGTAATCAAAGTCTTAATTGTGGACATTGGCTTCTTCACATTCTGAAGGACTGTGGTCTTAAAGGTACAGTGTTTAATAACATCTACAGGTCGCTCTGTGTCTGACAACCACGTTACACTTAGTTACGGCAGTTATGGAGTAATCAGCGACAGTAAACTGCAGTTTGAAAGTATGGAGGTGAAACATTCACAACCCAAACAAGAGCACATGCAGAGTGTGCTCAGGTAGGCAGGGAGAGAGGGGAGGAGCTATGCAGGGACATGTTATTGGACAGATTTGGACACGACATAAACTCTGTAGAGAACGCTGCTTCCTGAACCCCGGTACCAGACAGATACAGAGCAGTGCAGCATTGTCCATTAGAACATAAATCCAACATTCTGAACGATTAAACCACGCTGCAGGAAAGCTGCTAAGACTGGTGTGAAGTCATAATCACGCTTCTGTGCAGACTGAAATCCCTCAGATTATCAGAGTGATGTTGGCATTGTGTAAAACACAACCAAGAGGATAGAAGAAGCCGCAGAAACAAAAAGGTTCCAGTGATGCATTTCAGGTCAAATTAAAGTAATCAATAAAAGCATGAAAAAAACGACTTCTCAAAGTGAGTGACACTTCAGTTCAGGTCAGAAGGGTTTATTTAGTGTTTTACCTTTTTGTGACATTAAACTTTGCACAGTATAAGAATTCAGATTTGCAAAGATTGATTTGAGTCCAACCGACAGACTTGTGTTACAGCAGGTCATCTACTTTTACCTGTCAGTCATCTTATTACAGATACACACAGGGTGCATACAGGACAATATGCAAAGGAAACATTGTTCTTTGGTTTAAGGGACAAGTCTGAAATCACAGAGATGATTTTTTTTCCCCATCACAGCAGCTCTTCTTTGCAGAAGCAGAAGTACAGAACTGAAACTCAAAGATGAACCTTTTTTGGCCTTTAAAATAAATACGAGATGACAGTGTTTATCTCCGATATAGACAGAGCCGAGGGAGGCGAGGTCGAGTCAAAATGTGCATTTCATGTTTAAACAGTTCAGCAGGTAATTAATAAAGGGTTTGTTCTGCAACAAAAAAAACAAGAATCCTGCTTGAAAAACTGAATTGAATCCACATAAAGCCCCATGTGATGCAGAGTTTCAGCCTTACCTGCAGCGAGCCATGCAGTCAGAGCGGCCACGCAGAACACCAGAGACAAGCTGCTTCTCATGTTGACACAAACCTGAGAAATGATGGATGAATACTTTTCTTTAAACATGATTATTTAAATGATACTTGATTAAATATGTGACACACTTTGATGGAGAACAAAAGCGTCCTTACCTCAGCTTCTTCAGCTGCAGCGTGGATGAAAAACCTCGACACCAGAAACTTGTGGAAGAAAATCACTACAAGTGTGCAGACTGAAGTGAGGGACGGGTTGTGTGCAGAACAATGTAGTGGGGTTTATATGGGGGAGCACATGGGGGGGAGGAGATATGAACCTCAAACGAGACTGAACTTGTGATCGTCGGGCAGAGGTTTTAGATAGAAGATAATAAATGATTACAGTCAGATTTATTCCCAGGAAAGATTATTGCAACATCTTCAAGTTCAGGCACGTTTGAAAGATTTAGATTTTTTCCTCCTCCCTGCGGTCCATCGTATAACAAGAAATGATATAATCTTCATGAACAAAGCATCATTTATTGTGCTACGTTTTTGGGGTCAGTTGGTGTGTTTCAGGACCTGACAGTTGCTGCACTTGTTTTTGTAAGATTACATAAGAGGATCTTACAGGGAGGGAGTTACAGGGGTGGGGTTTGGGTTGGGGGGAGTGGGAGTGTAATGAGCTTACAGTTGGATGGATCGGAGGTCCAGGGGAGTATGGGGGAAGAAGCTTTGTTCCGGAGTGCATTTGTAACCCTGAGGGACTCCTTAAAATATGTCAGAGAGCGTAATGTAAAGACAAAACATCAGATTGTTTCAGCTGTTCTTAACAGTCGGAGCTCACGGGGGCAATTACAGAAAACAGCCAAAACAAGCGATGTTCCTCTTCCTTGGATTGAAGAACATCAATAAGAAATTATTTCTTATCTACGTTGATTTAAATCTGGAAGTTAGATCTAGTTTTGGTTATTTTCCTGCAAAAAGTCCCTTCAGGTTTCACCGTCAGTCGACCAACCCTGCCCTGGTTTATCTGCACAAACCCTTCAAAAACAAGCAGCGATTTCATCTAGGAAGGAGGGGCCGCATTCACTCTGTGAGACAAAAACATTCTCTCAGGCCTGAAGTGCTGGACGGGGCCTGGAGGTTGCAGATGAGAGGCCAAGCCGTGCCAAACTGTCCGGATAAATACGGCTTCAAGAGGGACTCGGGGGCTTCTCTCAGAATCCTAATGAAGTCGTCTTTTGTGTTTGTGTACCGGCTGGAGAGGAGTCTGTGGCGCTAAAATGAGCATGTCGCGCTTCACAAAGTCTCACAGAGTCGAGGAAGAGGCCCGGCAGTGTGTGACGGAGCGCCAGAGGTGGCCGTAAGAAAGCCCAGGCTCGGACTGACGAATCAGACGAGTCCAGAGAGAACACACTGGGATGTTTTTGTTTTTCTCAGATTAAAGGGTTAAAGTCAAACCTGTCTGGGATCTTTACCAAAGCTGTCATAAAAAACAGGTTTTGTAAATCTGGCTTGTGTGCTGATTTTACACCGAAGTCACTCTGCAAAGGCTCTCATGCAGCTGCTCTAAAAGAACAAGACAGGACAAAGGAACATTATCAAAGCAAGTCAAACTAATGCATGAAGTTCATACCACTGTCTGCTTTGCTGGAATGCTTACACATATGCAAAAGACAGCTCAAGGTTTGACTTTCAGGGTTCAATAAAATGTTTTAGCTCCAAAGATCGACCTCCATTTAAACCTCTTGAGCTGTTTTCACACATGCACTCCTGAAAATTTCTCAAGGAATTTCTCCTAATATTCTCCTGACCTGGTTGTTCACACATGCACCTCACAGAGGGAAACTATCCCTGTCAGACAGGAGGGGGGGGCGGACGGTCTCCTGAAGTCCTCTATACGAGGCTATAATGAGAGTATTTGTCTTTTTATCAATGCTACGTGTAGTTAAAGAGAATCTCAGTGTGAATTAAAGAGTGGAGAAGAACATACTGGAGAACAGGAAACATGCAGCAGCAGGTTCATTAGAGCACAGAGATGGTAGAGGTGGCGTGCAGATAGTCTATGGTTGTGCAGCGATCACAGGGAATAAAGGTCACCACCCCCTCCCACTGGCTCTAGGTGAATTCTCCTGATCGGGTTCACAGATGCAGCTCACCCCGAAAAGTTTTATGCAAGTGTAAAAGGTGTTTATAATGTTTGTTGTTGTTCTCGTCTTTGGATTTAAAATATTGAATTCTTGAAATAAAGCTGGAGAAGAAGCTGCAAAGAGCGCTGATGGTTTGGCAGATTACGGGTGCTCTGCTGGACAAACTTGAATGTTTTCTGCAGAGTTTCTTAAGTTAGTTCACTGGAAACATTTGTGCAGACGTCCATATTCATCAGTGAGAGGCTGATGCTAAAGTTTTGTTTTATTCTCTCCTCTGTTGGTATAAGGAAGTGTTGTTTGGCAGGATTGATCAGTATTATAATGTTGTTAGAGTAAGCTGATACCAACAGAACTTCACTGGCTCCCCTACAGGTATGAATGAATCATTCACTAATGCTGCTTAGTGTTGTTCCCCGTGTGTGAGAGCTGTTTGGAAGGGGGTTCAAATTTTGCAAAGATCTTTGTTTTCAGGGAACGATTGAATACTTGTACACATTTTCATGGAATAAATACAAAAAACCTGCATAAGTATGACTTGATTTTACTCCAACGTTCTTAGAAAGTCTAAATGAAAGCCTAACAGAAGAAGAACGTGGGTGGTAAGCGACCTTGAAAAGATGTTTTTCTCTCCTTTAATGACTGGGTGAGCTCGTCGTCTCGTCAACTCTTTGTCCTGGAACATTCTCTGTTCCTGCAGGGGGTCTGGTTTTTTTTTTTCTCCAAAAAGGTTGGGAGAGGTGACGGCTGGTAAACACAGACCCAAGCAGAGTCCATAATTAGAGTCCGAGCGGAGTCTGCCAAAACCAAGGCCAAGAGGCCTTTACATGTCAGCTTGTGTGAGGCTCACTTTAACTGGCCCTCTTTGTCTCAGTGCTCACACGGCTGCTGACAGATTAAGTGTTCAAGAGAAGAAATGAGCTGTGAAACGAGCAATAATATTCATTTGAGATTTATTCAGGTCATAATTACACAGTTTGAATTAAATATTGCCCCCAAAAAATGTTGCACAAACAAACTGGCATGGCAGTGCAAACATGACAGCAGGCCGACGAGTAAACGTGCTTCGGTACGGATCATCTCCATCTTGTGTTTGTACCACGGACCAATGAGAACACGGAGTTTCAGACGTGATCATCAGAAGTTTGGACTATTAACAAATCATGTAAAAAGTTTTTTAGTAACAAAGCACAGCGTCAGGACAAACATTACAGTGCATCATAGACATGCAGTGGACTAAAAAAGACTAAAGTCAGCATGAAGAGGAGCTCAGTGCTGTGACATGCCACAGAGCAGAATGTTGGCAGTTTGGTCCAATTACAACATAAACACTACACATGGAGTACTAAGAATGAGGATCTTTTGTCCTGCATGTGGAAATATTCCTTTTTAATTCTTCAGCGAGGACACGAGAAGCCGTAGCTTGAAGCAACAAACTGTACATTATGGTTGATGTGATCGCATGCCATCTTTTTCAAAGTATTGCTCGTGGATGGATCCGCTGATTATAAAGCATCTCATTGTTATAACTCAGATAAAAGAATTTAAAAAAAGAAATGGGTCATTTAAAATCGTGCTCTCTAAGTTGCGATCGATGCTACCGTGTGCTCAAGTCAAGTAAAAAAAAAAAAAGACTTTGACATGAGAGTGAAGGAGAGTCAACGTAAACATCTATTTAAAAGCTCCAGGGTCGACTAAATACATTCTGGCAGTTATCTAAGGTTATGTGCAGACAGATAACGGAGCTTCAGGAGTGCTCAGGTTAAAAAAGAAGGGATGTGACGATGTGGAAACACTCGGCTGTTAGAACCAGTTCTCAGAGATTTTCTGCTGGATTTGCAACATTTTCTAAAAAAAGAAAAAAAAAACATGTGACTGTATTCCAAAACAAGTTTCTCGCTGTGTCTCTCACGCTCAGTTCCAAGTCAGCCAGTTCTTAGAGTTTGAGCATGAAAAAGACTTCACTGTTTTCAGGGTCTGGGGAGGAATGGGACTGTCTCGGGGAGGGGGCGTCGTGGGGGGCGAGCTGACTCAGCAGGTCCTGGCTGCTGCAGGGACTCCGGGCCACGCAGCACGCCCCTTCAGGGTTCCCCCGCTCCTCGATGGGGCTGCCAACACTCCCACTACCAGAGAGGCTAAAGCTAGCACTCCTGCCCTGGACCAGGCCCTGGAGCCTCTGCCTCTCCTGGGCCTTCTTAGCCCTGTTGGCGATGTAGCGCACCCGGCTCTGGCTCCTGGAGGAAGTCCTCCTCACCAGGGTCTCCTCCTCCGGCTCCTCCTGGGGCTCTGCAGCTCGGGTTTTGTTGAAGTCGCTGGCCGTCAAGGGCTCCACATCGGTCAGCCGCCGTAGTTGTTCTGTGAGGTCGCTGGGCGGCCGTGGTTTCCGCGGGCTGCCCCTGCGGAGCTGGTCTCTGGCGGGCCTGACGATGAAGCTGCGGCTGATGCTGCGGTACTTGCTGTCAAAGTTACAGGAGATGTCGTCGGAGGTCAGGTCACCGAGGCTCTTGGACATGGAGGCTGCAGATGTTTGAACTGCAGCTGCTGCGGTGGACGGTCTGCTGGACGCTGACTGCTTCAGCCCCTCCATGTAGAGCCGGCTCCAGGTGTGCCTCCTCTGAGTCAGTCTCCCGGGGGAGTCCAAAGAAGCCTCCTGCGGGGGCTGCAGGGGGCGGGGCTTCAGCTCATCCTCATCACACTCACTTTGTTGAAGGTTGGGGTTGGACTTGCTCTTGCTGACTCGCAGGGTGTCGTAGGAGACCAACGCTGAGTGACGACAGTTGACCCAGGGGGGGTCGAAGGCGCCGCTGGCGGCGGCGGGCAGGCTCTTCCTGGCCAGGTTAGGCAGGGACAGGTCGATGACTGTGTCACTGGAGGAGATACTGGAGGACGAGGACATGCTGTCTCTGTGGCTGTCCGGCTCTAACTTGCTCCACAGGCGGTCGTTCATGGTAGCGTCCATGCAGACCTCTGGTACTGCTGACTGGACCTGATGGTCTGATGCTACAGCGACCAGAACTTGACCCTCGCTCTTTGTTCTTCTTACTGGTATGTGTGTTGGCAGGTTGCTGAAAAGCGCTCTCCTGGCCTGGGCTGTCTTTGCTGCTGCAGCCGGAGGCTCTGTTCTGCTGCTGGACTTTAACTCTGCTGGATCATTTTTCTTCTCTGTCAGAGCTTCTCGGTCCTCGCTCTGGTTTTGGGTGTGCTCCATCAGTGAGGGGGGGCTTCTGTTGGCCTGGGCTTCTTGACTGCACTGTGATGGAACAGTTTTCTCGGTGGGGTTCTTGAGGGGGGAATCTGTTGTTCTAGAAAGGATAGACGGTTCCTTAAAGTCTCTGATCACCTTGTCTGCCACCCCGTTGGAAGGGAGGGCCAACGGGGAGTCTGATTTTATTGCTGAGGATGACGAGGACGGTGGTGAAGATGAGGAGTGATGGGGAGACAAGCTTTCTTCTGGAGTGGAGACAGAGCGGATGAATCGTGGCTTTCTGGCCTCTTCAGAGTTTAGTGCAAGAAATGGAGGAGAGGGAGCTGGTTCCTGCACTGAGGAAGAGTCTGTGGGGAGAGGGACGACAAAGACATTTATCATCAATGCAGTCTGAGCTCATCTGATCTGCTCGCTCTATATAAGTGCGCCATGATACCAGGATTTAGCCTCCTTTCTTTTTCTAAAGAAGGTTAATTACTTGCTCCTGTGGCCCTTAAATATATGTTTGTAATGCTACAGCTGATTCATTTCATGCATGTGCTTTACAATGTTTGCATTTTGCAGTTTCTTTTTGGAGCTCAGGTTTAGCAACGTTATATACATGTATTTAAATATGGACGAGCAGAATAGATCTCCTTTAAATAACACTAACAGTACATTGGTTTAACCATGGAGAAAACAACATTTTAAAGGCCAGTGATTGTGACAAATTGTAAATATCTACGTCGTGCATGGTGCTCTCTTTACTTTAACAAATGCATTTTTTTTAATGTGAAAATGAAGCAGAATATGTTTTTCAGACTCCCCCCCCACCAGCGGTGAGACAGATATGGACCATGAGAGAAGCAGGTGGGTGAGACAGAGAGATGGTGAAAGTCTGACAGGATGAAGTTTAAGGATTGCATGCAGTCAGCGGTTTTACCTGGCTCTGGTCATCCCCTCAATTCTGCACTAGGAACAGAGAAGGCGTGCAAAAAGGGACAGAGAGGAAAAAAGGAGTTTAGCAAAACCGGGAAGAAAGAGGGAGAACTGGGGCGAGGACAAAGCTTAAAAGGACAGAGAAGCATCTTAAGATTTGACATGAGAACAAACATCAGAGCATTCGTTTTTACACTGAAAGGAAAGAAAAGACAGTTACCTTAAACATTAGGGAGAAAGCATCTTATGACATAACAGATCAACTCCCCACACATGCACAGTTAAACTCCTGAGAACATCACATGATATACTGAGGAGGGCTGACAGGGGAGTGGAGCTGGACTCCCCTCAAATCATGTGAAGGAGGAAGAGGTCTTCAGCTGGACGTCAGAGCCTTGTGACTCCCCTCGTTCAGTCAACTTTTGAATGTCAATTTGTCAAGATTGTTTAAGACTCATTGCTTCATTTGAATGTTTCTGAGTTTACAGGAAACTTTGTGAACTCTCATAACTCAGTGTAATGTACTTCACATCATGCTAGAGGTTTCCAGCTCTGAGTTTAGGGTTCTATGTTTCTTTAGATAATCTTCATCCAAATAACACATTTAAGCTACAAGTAGTGCTGTCCTCTTTAGGTTGGAACTTACCACTTCTTTCGTCTGTGTAGCACGGGGGGGTGGTATCGGGTGCAGGTGTTTTACGGCACAGAGAAGAAAGTTAAAATCAGTTCATTGAAAAGTGAAGAGTTGAAATGTTTGGATGAAAGCTAGAAAATCTAGAACGATACTCTAGTGGGTGACAACGCAAAGAAGCTTATTATGGTGGACGTTTTTTCAGCAAACTACCGGGGACACAGGATGACGAGGTGGGTTTCATTTAGGAGGGGGGAGGGATTCTGAGGCTACCAAACGCTCCTGGTCTGGAGGCTAACAGGGAGTCTACAGTGAAGGAGTCCCACTACAGCTACTACGGGCTCACTGCTGATTCAGCATCTAATCCTTCTTACCGGAGAAGAACATGGGGGACTTATGGCGCAACTCTTCCATTTTCTGGGCGAACAGGGCGTTCATCTCCCGCTGCAGGGTGCCCACCGCCCTCTTACGGCTGTCGAGGACAGAGCGGGGAGGCAGCATAGGAGGAGACTCCAAGCTGCTCAGACTGCAGAAGCTGTCACAGCTGCTGCTGTCACTGAGCGACAGACCGTCGGTGCTGTTAGTGAGCAGGGCGAGCCCCGAGCCACAAACGGAGCCGTAGTTGGGGGGCGTGGCCTGCTGCCAGCGGAGGTTGCTCCTGCAGTCTGGTGTGAGGCCGGGCGCTGGTGTGACGGTGTTTGTGGAGCGTCTGCGGGGAACGCTGCAGGAGCGGCTGTTCCTCTGTGAGCTGTCGGGCTGAGGGCGCATGTGCTGGGCTCCCAGAGTTTGTCTGGCTCTGGTTCTTTGGAAGGGGACCGGTCTGAGGAGAGCCTGGGGCGAATACTCAAACTGGGTTTCAAAGCACGACATGGGTAGCGGAGGAGTCTGCTGAGACTCGGACTGGACGGTGAGGGGCTGCGGCTGGGCGACAGACTCGGGCTTAACTTGTTTTTTTGCAGATGAGGAGCGGCTACTTCTCTCCTGTTTCTCCCCTTCTGACATTTTGGACTTACATGCCGGGTTTTCTTTAACCTGGCACTTCCTCTCCGCCTCTGGACTCTCCTTGGTGCCGAGCACACATGTAATGCAATTGGAGGACATCCCCACCTTGCCTGAGCTGTTCAGTGCGACGCGGGCGAACACGCCGGGCTTCATGTCAAGCGGGTCATGAAATCTGAGGCGACTGGCCCGTTTCAGAGGCTCGCTCATGGGCCGTCGCTGAGCAAAAAGAGGGCTCTTACCTTTACCCTCCTCAGGGTGAAAAGCCCCATTGGTGTCAGGACGGTCCCAGGGGCCCTTGGCTTGATGCGATGCCAGCGAGTCCCTGCTGCGGTGTTGTGGTGTTGTGGTCTGGTGAGAGGCGGCAGCAGAGGCCTTGTCCCGGTCCTCAGACTCTCGCTCCTCACTCGCGCCCTCTGAGCTGTAGTCTTTGGTGTCGATTTCTGGGAAGCCCTTCTTGATTTTGGGCTGGCCTTTGGTGGGTGCACTGGCAGTGCGGCGCAGGAGGTGGGCGCCGAACGGGTGCTTACGGCTGTGCTGTGCAGCAGCATGGCTGTCTAGGGAAGCCTGCTTTGGGTTTCTGTGAAACAGCCCTTTTATGCCGCTGACCGCTCTGGCCTGAAACAAATAGAACATCATCGTCAAACACACAACCAACCATTACAAACCAGACGATTAGGTCATGTTAGGGTGACATGAAAACAATGTTTGTCATAATGCAGGTAGCATAGATTCACGCTGCATTAATGGAATATTATATGGGCAGTTTATGAATAGAGAGCATGCTTAAAAATTCAAGAAATCCATCAATATTCACTTGAATAAAATGTCCAGCAGTATCACATGGGAATGATCACTCTTAGACACGATCATTCAGTGATATTGCTGCTTTGGTGGAAGTATAAGTTAGCCTGTTAGACAGTTAGAGAGTCAACACATGTGTACAAAGCAGCTCTGCTCCCAGTGGGAAATGATTAGTGAGGGGAAGACATGCCTGGAGGTGTTCGAGCTTTACATACAGGGAACACCTTCTGAAGATGAACACAGTGATCACAATCACAGCTAGGAAAAAAAAAAAATTCACTTCTTTTGCAGCAAAACAACAGAAAGAGTTATTTTAATTAACACTGCAGTCACAAAGAGACCTGTCATTTTTCCTTACAGGTTCATTTTTCTATAAGCAAACACTGCATTTAAATCATGAGGCTTTATCTCGTTGAATTTTTGATGATGTCTAAAAGAATCCACATTGCTTAAAAGAATGTTTCTGTCAATCCGATATAAAGATGTGAAGCTGGTGTTGAAACTGTAAACCTGACTGTCACACAAAAAAAGAAAAAACACTGTTTGGACATTTTCTGTGCGTTGCAGTGCTGCACGGTGAAGGTCAAAGGTCACAAAGACGGGGTCAGAAACGATGAGGGTGGAGAGGTGATGACGGTGTGTGTCACTATGAAGGACAATATGACAACGGAGCCTCAGTGGGACGAGGCATCACATGACACAAGCAGAAAACATCTGTCAATCAAACGTTTGAACACGGTGAGAGAAGAAGTAGATCCAAACAACGAGTGTTAACTCGTCTTTGAACAGGGAAAGAGAAAGTCAAAAGAAAAAGACAGAAAGAAAAGAAAAGACTGAGTAGAAAAAGAAAAACTACTGGATCACTCTGAAGTCATTAACGCACACACCACCTAGCCCACCGGCTCCTCTCTCCTTGCTTCCGTCCTTCCTTCCTCCCACACCTTGCCTCATTACACAGCTTTGTTTATTGTGTATTTTAGATAATATTTACCAGTAGTACAGAGACGCTGAAGTACATTAACAAGCTTACTGATGATGATGTGTATCACTACAATCACTGCAGCTGCAGAAAATAATTAAAACAACAGCATGAGAAGCTACGGCTTTAAAATGAGACGTACGGTCAGCGTGCTCTTTACTCGCTCGAGTGACTTTATGTAGTGAACAAGAAAAGAACGGGAATTAAACCTGGGCGGCCATAAGTATTCCTGCGCAGCCCGCCTTGTTAATCGTCTATGGATGGGAAACACTTTACTGTACTTTTTTTGGCCTTTGCATTTTTATGTGATCACAACAATGGAGTCATGCTCTAGAAAACATCACATTAAAAAAAACACATTTTCCATTTCAGACACGTCTACAATAAACCAAAAAATGTCAGGATAAAAAAAACAAACAAGAAAAGTATAAAAGACAAACTCAAAAAGTAAAACAGTGACCTGACAACAACGGCCAAGAAAGAAAAACCTGAGGTGGAAAAGAAACAAAATATTTCAAGAAGTGTGGGGGAGATGAGAAGAGGAGTAAATGTCCTGAGAGAGGAGGAACTGAATCCCCCTGCAGTGCAGTAAAAACTCCTGAGTTCAGAGGAAAACATGCTCTCAGCAGAAAGCAGCAGAGCAGAGTCACCGCAGCGTGCCGGACGTCCTGACTCGCTCTCTGTCTTCAGCGTCCCTCTCTGTGACTGAGCAGCTTTCTGACATTGGATCTACTTGGTTTGGGGGGGGGGGGGTGTCGATGAGGAAGCAGGCAGGTAAAGCCTTCATAACTCATGTGAGGCATGAGTTGGCCTTGTATTTTTTAATGCTTGCAGTTGGCTGACAAGAAGGGGGTGTTATTGGGGGGGGGGGGGGGTCACTCTGGTGATAAAAACGGTTGACCATGTGGCTCATGCATGATGCCGACTGGATCTCACTACACCTGAGTTTTGAGCGGCAGCTTCAGGGCTCCTAAAAATGTCCTGCCTCTAAATGGAGCGTTTGGAATAAGAGGGGTCCACTGAAAACACAAACAGACACAGGAAGAGAGCGAAGTCAGAGAGGAGGAGGGTGAAAGAGAGAGAATGAGCGGGCGAGAGAGAAATCACAACAGGAAGCAAACGGATACATGGCTATGAGAGAGGAAGTTCAAAGAAAGGACAACGTGAACAACAGAGCGCTCATTTACAACATGGCCGAAGACAGACGAGGGCATTAAAGCTCAAAGAAATTAAATGAAAGTCGAGTGGTGAAAGCAACGAGGGCGTCAATTATGAGACAAAAAAAAACATTACACACTACCCATGACTATAAGGTCACAGCGACGTCTCTGATTGGTGGAGCTCGCTGTTACCATGGCAATGGTAACAGCTAGCAGGCTAGCTAATAAGTTAACTAACAGTAAATGTGCTAATAACCTCGTTATGCTGAATGTAATTTATATATTCAATCAAAGCAAACTACTACATATTACAACACCTGTATTTAAACAGTATAAAAACAACAACAAGAGTTACATTTCAGAAGTGGGATTATTTGCAATGCATTGTGGGATGTGTAGTTCATTGACTCTGGACGATAAGTATGTACCGTATTTTCCGCACTATAAGGCGCACTTAAAAGCCTTTAATTTTCTCAAAAAACCACAGTGCACCTTATAATCCGGAGCGCCTTATATATGGATCAATTGGTTAATTGGTTGATCCATACTGGTTGTACACGGCGCTCAGCGACACTGACTCGGATAATGACGAGAGGGAGCCGGGCATGTTGGATGCCGTACTCGCCCAACTGTTCAATTCGGACACTGAAGAAGAAGAATTCGAGGGATTCGTGGACGGGGAATGAACTGAAAAAGTGAGCTTTACGTGTTATACGTAACTGAACAATGTTGAGTTATGCACTAACGTTTGAATTAGCGGTATTAGACTGTGTTTCTTTTACATGTTTACAACTGAACAAGGCTGGGAGATATTGTGAATATGCACATTAACGTTTGAACAACGTTGAGTTATTGTGAATGCACTAAAGTTTGATTTAGTGGTATCAGACTGTTTCTTTTACTACGTGTTTACTGAATCAGGGAAAAGTTCCCCTCCACGTTTGGGAGAAGAGTGAACAGGGCGGGGCGATATTGTGAATATGCACATTAAAGTTTGAACAACGTTGAGTTATTGTGAATGCACTACGTATATTTATATTTATATATTCACAATATCTCCCAGCCTTGTTCAGTTGTAAACACGTTCTATTCTATGCGCCTTATAATCCGGTGCACCCTATATATGAAAACAGTTCTAAAATATGCCATTCATTGAAGGTGCGCCTTATAATCCGGTGCGCCTTATAGTGCGGAAAATACGGTATACAGTCTTGTACTTTTGACTTTTTCTCAGTTTTTTAACAATCAAAAGTTTTATAGTCACAGTTTTATAGTAGTATTTGGGTAGCTGGTTGTCATGGTTACGGGCTTCAATCTTTTGATATACAGATTTTTGTGACATGTCAGTGGGGTAATTTAACGGAGACACCGGAACAGAACTTTTTTTTAAATCCTGAACTATTAAAAATGATTCTTGAAGCTTCATTCGGTACGTGTTATTTTCTAGATTTTCTTTTGGTTTTGGATCCATGCAAACTCTTTACATGACATTTATTGAACCTAAATGAAAAAAACAGCTCGACTGAAGAGGACATGTTTAAAATATTACAAAAGAGATTTCATAAATCTTCATCCGGCTTCGTCAGTTGTACTCACCTTACCAGTGATGTCATTCACAGCTACATGAACAAAGATTGAAGCCTCCTCCATACCTTCCAAATAAACATGGCGATAACCTGCGTGCACACGAAGACACCAGAGAGACGGCTTCAGTATCACAGAGTCACACATCGTAAGACAGAGCAAACAGAGGGACCACTGCACCCCCTCTCCACTAGATACATCCAATCATTTAGTGGATCATGCAATGCTGTATGGTATGGCGTCCCTCAGGGCTCAATACTTAGCAAAAACATACAAAGACAGAACGGTACCGGGCTCAGCAGTAAAACTCTACATAAAAGTTTAACTCTTTACAGATGATCCTCAACTTTACCTTTCAACTTATCCTAACGAGGGAGAGAGAGTCTATTTTTAACTTTTGACAGTGCATGCTACGCATTTTTCTCTGCTTCCAAACTTTATGCTAAGCTAAACCAGAGCATCAAATCATGGAGGACTTTGGAGGAGTTTCTCAGCAGATCAAAAGGTAAACATGACGCACAGCTAACAGCTAAACACTTTCTTTCTCCACAGACCAGGAAATTACTTCTTAGAATATGACACACATAATGCTCTTAGAGGTCACCATAGAAACATGACATGTAGAGGATGCAGGTGATGTAGGGGGTACTTCTCAGTCCCACCCAGAAGAAGGGGCTTCACGTCCTACCTGGCATCATGCTGTTGAAGGCGATTGTGCGCTGGCCGATGAAGTCCTGGCCGATGGGGTCGTGATCCCACACGAGGAAACGCACCAGGGCGAGCTCCGGCATGTGGACCGTGAACACCAGAGTCTCCTCCCACATCGGGTTGAACCCTACAGGACGGTCCCGAGAGAGAAGGAGAGAGGTCGCAGGAGGAGGCAGAGGAGGGAAGAGGAAAGACAAACATAAACGTTTGACAAATAAACAGAGAGGAAGGAGAGAGAGAGAGAGAGAGGGACAGGAGAGGAGGACGGTCCAGGAGAGAGTCAGAGAGCAAACTCATCACTCATCAATTATTCAGGATGTGTGTGTGTTTGTGTGTGTGTGTGTGTGTGTGTGAAAGCAGACTGAGAGGTGCTGCCTGTGCTAGTCCTCTAATGCTGAGTTCATCAATTATAGATCTGAACACATACAGACAGCCCAAACACACACACAAGTGCAGGGTCACTTTCAAACCATGCATTTATCTAATAAACACACACACATAAAAACAACATAACCACAGCTGTACTCATGCAAACATTAAGACGCCATGAGAGTCTCCGTTCAGAGAAATCGGAAACCAGACCAAAGCTGAATTCTTTTCTTTTAACTCAGAACTTTTATTTTATATCTTTTTTACTGCTGAACACCCTTTTGTGTATTTTTCATGGCTTAAATAATCACAAACTATCTAAAGTTTATGAAGTCGAGAACACCTGACATGAACTCACCGTTATCATCCACCACTCTGGTCTGCTCCTTGCAGCAGTCAATGGGGAGCCCGATGACCTCCACCTCCACGAAGGGATCAATAATCTGACAGAGAGACGTAACACAAGGCGGTAAAGATCAAACAACCACAGACAGGAGCAGTGTGTAACTCTGACCCCTAGTGTTTAAAATGGGTACTGCAGTCCAAATTCTAAACATTGTAGAGAGCTGTCTCCCCCCTCCTCTCTAGAGTGGATGCTCATGCAGGTCGCCATGTGGTGGACACTGAAGCTTCAGTGTTTATCCAGCTCTGCATGGGTCTGTAAACCTTTCTGTGTTCTAACCTCTCTCCATTTTTCAAAAGCATCTGCAATATTGATCCTAGTTTGAGCACGTTTCTGCTCGTGGAGCTTATTAGAAACATGCAGAGGCTTTTTAGGTCGGGTACAATCACTTCTATCTGCTAACCAATGAGTTTGCATTTTAGCACTTCCCGTTCCGTTGTCTCGAAATCGTCTGTGGAATTTGAGTTTTCAGTTTTCAAATAAGGTCTGTGGTAAACACAAGCTTAAGAGATATTTTTATTATTATTATAGTTACATCTGGAAGAGCCCCACTTGTGAATTTTGAGGCTTTTTGACGTCTTAAGAAAGGTGTTTGCTATCATCTGGCTAATTAGGACTACAGAGTTTAATATCTGGAACATTAAAAAGTGGTGGCGATGTTGAATTCAGTCGACCGAGGTGTAGTCTGGTTAGACACCAGAAGTGACAATGTTGACTTCTGAGTTGGAGTACAAAAATATGCAATCCCTGAGGCACTCCATTACTTTAAAGAGGCTGGACAGTTGTGTGTGTGTGTGTGTGTGTGTGTGTGTGTGTGTGTGTGTGTGTGTGTGTGTGTGTGTGTGTGTGTGTGTGTGTGTGTGTGTGTGTGTGTGTGTGTGTGTGTGTGTTGTACAGTACCTCTCCTCTGTCTCCCAGCATGGAGTCTTTGGGTTTGGGCAGCTGTTGTCCGCTGATGATCTTTAACACCAGCTGTTTCTTCATCTGACCCGGCAGAGGGTCCTCCAGGCTCGGGTTAAAGGCACCTGCATGGAGAGGAAGGTTTGAATCTCTGCAGACACAGTCACCACCACACATGTATGGAGGCCCAGAAGGGACAAAAGAGCGGTTTTAGTCTCTATTTTATATTGTAGGAAGAAGCTGCTGACTCCATCTTTAAATTAAAAAGGAAAATGTTTCTGAGGACGCTGTAGAGAAATCATAATTCGTCCTGAACAGCTGAGTGAATAGTGTGTTAAGTGCTGACCTTCACACATGCAGGCGGGCTTGAGGATGTAGCCACAGTTGCCGTTGCTGTAGAACTTGGCTCTGTTGAGCTGCAGGACGCGGCCCTCTGACTGGTAGTTTAGCGCCACTGAAAGCAAAGCAGAAGATGTGATTATCACCAGTAGAGAAAGTCCTGAGCAGCGTCGTCATCATCATCATCAGGAAGCGTGCGGTGGGCGGGGCTTAACGCATACCGAGCTGGCAGCCGGCGCTCCAGAAGGGCTGGGGGTTGAAGTTGGAGGAGTCGACGCGGTAGGAGGAAGGGTAGATACGGGAGAGCTGCTTCTGGTTGAACTGGATGAAGGACGTGGCTTTCTGCTGCATCACCTGGTGGGCTTTAGTCTCACTGAGAGACGACACCTGCCAGCTGCAGTTCGCTGCAACACAAAGACAACTTCATTCAACTCTGATTTTTAATAAAAACAAAACAGAAGAGTGATGGTTGGTTGGATGTTTTTAGGGATTGGCTCACAGACGTGCTCACCTTGTGCCTCGATGTCATACAGACCCACAGAGCACGTGTACTTGACCAGATCGGACAGAGCTCTCGACAACTTCATGGTCTTCTTCTTCCTGTGACGTCAACAGAGTTGTCAAAGTTCACACAAGTCCATGCACAAAGTAAATCAATCATTTGAAGAAAAGAGGACGGATAAAACTAGCACGAATGTTTAGGATGATGGTTCTCAGAAACATATATTTATGATGGATTTTAAGCGAGCATTATATGCTGTTGTTTACTGTAGCAGCTGTGTGTGTCTGAAGTGTGTGTAAAGGAGTGTGTGTGTGTGTGTGTGTGTGTAACATACTTGCTGTGGTGTAAAGGAGTGTGTGTGTGTGTGTGTGTGTGTGTGTGTGTGTGTCTAAAACATACTTGCTGTGGTGTAAAGGAGCTCTGGAGGCACTACTCGTGCTCTCTTGGTCCGTATCTGTGTCCTCAAAGCTCGACGTCTTTTTCAGCTTTGTTGTCTTTTTCTGAAGGAGAAAGATTTTTTTGTTAATCGGTCGGAGGAGGAGGAGGAGGAGGAGGATATGTTGAAGTGTTGTTGACTCATTGTGAGAAAGATTCTTCTCTGGGAAAAATAGAAATGTGGACACAAGTCTGTAATGTTCTCACTAAGATCATCATAAACATATCTGAACTACAGCAGTGTCAAATGTTCAGATTCATGAACTAAAACAAAGACACACACATGAAACTAAAGCAAACAGGCGTTAAAAACAGGATGAGGTCAAACCTTGCGTTTGGAGAAGCTCCCGATGAAGGAGCGTCCTGTCCGCTTGTTGCAGCTGGGATTAGACTCGTCCGCTGTGTCCGTCCCGTCCTCACTTTTACCCTGAGAGCAGAAAACACATTCAGTATGATTTCTTCAGGAATCAGTTATTTTACAGTTCTTTCAGGATTGAGTAAAGAACATTTAAAGTGTTGAATTCAGTTTTTTTCTGAAGCCTGGCTCAGACTGCAGAAGTTTTAAAAAAGATTTTGAAACTGACATCATCACACACAATAGGAGAATCTTAACAGATATTCTTCTACATAATCTCATAGAGAGGGGAGAGAGAGAGAGAGAGAGAGAGAGAGAGAGAGAGAGAGAGAGCCGAGGAGAGAGTCATTTAAAATAACGACATCAACAAATGAAACTTGTAAAAGAGCCGAGGCAGTAACATGAAAGAGTATTCAGAAAGTATTTCATCGGTCTGTGTAGTTTAGGAAAGCTCAGGGTTTCTAATTCAATGTGAAAGATTCTAATTCAGCGTAAAAGAGACGACCGGGAGAGAAACCATTGCTCTCTTTACCAGGAGCTCCAGCATCACACAGCCCAGCTCGTTTCAGGGTCTCAATATTTGGAGAAGTCATTTTTTAAACCCTCAGCAGTTTGTATTAAACCGGTTTGAACTAAAGTATCTGCAGATGATCTAAGATTGTGTTTACCTTGGAGCTGGTTTTGTCCGTCGCCTTCCCCGCAGGAGGAAGAGCTGCAATGGTGAAACTGTCGGGATCTTCTCGGTCTCGTATTTTGGACTCCTTCATCAGGTTGTCTAGCTTCTTCTTGGCCATGTTCTCCACCTGCTTCCTGTTGGCCGATGTCTGGAGAGGAAGGAACAGTTACACAGAGTGTGAGGTGAATTCTAAACACAGGACGATCACATGCAGGTGTGGGGGACCAGATTGACTGACAGGTGAATGAGCTCTGTACCTTTCTGCAAACTGACCTGCTGTAAATTTGCGTTGCTCTTACCTCGAGGAAAAGAGGCCTCTAACTTCTACTTGTGGCTCTCCTACACTTGTCTTTCCCTGTTAGAGAGTTTTATCTGCTAATACAGCTCCTTGTGTTCAGTGGCAGACTGCTGTCACAATCCTGTTCCACAGACAGACTTAAGAACTCTTTTGTCCCCCTGGCCATACGTCTGTACAACACCTCACGGTTATGGCAGGGGGAAAACACACACTTGGATTAAATCTTCCTTTTTCCATTTCCCATCTGCACAGCTGTCCCAAGAGTCAGCCTCTAGTTGGACACTTCAATGATCACCTCAATTACTTAAATAGCACCTTTAATTTAATGTTTGCACTGCCTGTTATTTAATTTAATGTCTGTTTTTGATAACTCTGCACTATCTGCTTTTTTAAACATTGCTGTACAAATATAAACAACACAACTTCAGAAGGTCAACACTTTTTTATTTTTTTTATATTCAGGTCTAATTACAGATTTTTTCCCTCAACTGTTTAAAGGTTCTTGCTTTAAATTTCACATATATTTTTATCCCTGCACGGGTTCTGTGCATTTCTTGTATAAGTCTATTTTTTAATTGCACAGTTTAAGTTTGTCTTTGTAACCTGCTACTGGATGCTTTGAATTTCCCTCAGGATCAATAAAGTATCTATTTATCTATCCTTTCTTTAGGTACTCCACCTTTAACTTCTCACTGGTTTTAAAACTCCTGTGAGGAACTTTGTGTTTGTCTTTGGACCGGAGTACACGGAGAGAACCCACACATGCACGGGGAGAACATGTAGACTCCACACAGAGAGACTCCTGAAGGACGGGGATTCAAACCAGGAACTTCCTCACTGTGAGGCGACAACACTAACCACTGCAGCACCGTGCCGCCCTTCTCAAAAACAACAAAGCCCTAAATCTAATCTTTGCAGCATTACTTCGAGCTCCATTCAGAGTCTTGTTTGTTTTACTTAAATCCACATATGTGAGCATTAAAAAAGAGAACCATCGAGAGAACACAGAGACACTGTCTGACTCTGGATGGACCAGAACAAGAAGAATAAAACACATCATGAAGGATCCCGCCTGATCTTTCCCAAAACGTTCACAGGGAGGAAACATGAAAAAAAAACATTGTGTCACATAAAGCAGAGGCTTCCAGACTTCATGATGAATGTAATGCATTCCAGATGTGCAAGAATCACGTGTATACTATGTAACTCCATCAACAGTGCATGTTTTGTCTGGTTTATGATGAATGCATTAAAGAGTCAGCTCATCTAAATGACCTCTGATAGAGTCAGAAATATTTAATGGCTTTAAGTATTTAACTGACAAACGGTCTTCACTGAGATCTGTTGTTGGATTTTTCTTTCCTCTCGGTTGTAACAATTTTGTTTTTAAACCTGTCGTAATGTTTCATTGTGTTGTTTTGATGCTTTCCTGTTCGTTTGAGCCACACTTTGTTTTTAAACGTGCTTCAGAACAACGTCTGGATTGTTCAGAACATTTGGGACAGGCAGTAAAGATGTTTATTTCTGATTTAGGTGAACTGACTCTCAATCTGAGCTCCGCCTCCTGCAGATGAAATCATGATTCAGAACCTCTCATCCTGTTTGGACTGAACACACATCATGCATCATGCAGGATTGAAGAGCACTCACACTTCTCAAAGGGAGAGAAGACGCATCATTAACATGTTACGTAATGCAGACAGAACCTCCAACACTTTTATGTATCATGGAGAGTGACAGCACAGATGACGGTTTGACTTTTGTTTTAAAAGATGAAGAGGAAAAGGTGAAGATCTCCTCATTGAGGTTTCACTGCTGAATGTATTGAGAAGATCAACATGCACATACTGAGTTCAGCCACCAGGTGGCAGAGTGTCTTCATTAACCATGTTTTTAAATGGATCACAGGTGACTGACTGGATGCTCACTGAGGAACATGATCACAGACGAGTCACAGCTGAAGATATGTTATAGAAACCTTAAGTATATAAATCATGTGTTTCAGTCACTGCTGTCCGTCTGGTTTGATGGATAAGATGTTAACCTGATTGTTCTATAACACTTAAAGGTCTCAGGCAGTGTTTGTGTTAATGCACCTGGACAAACGACCTTCTGAAAAACATCTCTAAGATTGTCTGAAAAATCACTGCAGACAATTATTTCAACAAGCTGACACCTCTCTAATTTTGTTTTTCAGAATAAATAACATATGAGATAGAAACAAATACTTCATCTATCATCAGTTAATGATATCGTTTCCACCTTTATGACATTCATAAATATGCATGCTTATGTCAATGCAGTGATTCTCAAACTATGGGGGGCAAACCCACATGCAGGGGCATGAAGACATGACAGGTAGGCGTGGCCAGGAGTGCGTTCTGCCTCCAGCAATTCGTCAGAGGCGGGATTAAAAATAAACTCTTTGAGCTGTGTTACAACAGACCGCTGCAGTCCTTCTAACTTTAGATTCTGGTCCTGAATGATCTGGATTTGTTTGGACCAGAGAAGGTAGGAGGTGGTTTTAAGGCACCTCCCCACACGGTCGTTTTGGATGCCCCTCGGTTTGCCAGATATGAGAGCAGTTATCAGGTCAAACCAACAGGTGTTGCAGCGATGGAAGCGGGCAAGAGAAGTGGTTCAGATAGAAGTGATTGTACCCGACCTAAAAAGCCTCTGCATGTTTCTAATAAGCTCCACGAGCAGAAACGTGCTCAAACTAGGATCAATATTGGAGATGCTTTTGAAAAATGGAGAGAGGTTAGAACACAGAAAGGTTTACAGACCCATGCAGAGCTGGATAAACACTGAAGCTTCAGTGTCCACCACATGGTGACCTGAGTGAGCATGGACTCTAGAGAGGAGGGGAGGAGACAGCTCTCTACAATGTTTAGAATTTAGACTGCAGTACCCATTTTAAACACTAGGGGTCAGAGTTACATACTGCTCCTTTAAAAATACATTTGAAATAAAGAAAATGTATTTTTTGACATCTTTTGAATACTTTAATGTAAATAATGTAAATTTTATTCATGCGTTTGTAGAAACACATCACAGCAAATGAATGTTCACGATCTGGATGGTATTTTAATGAAGTTGTGGTGGGTGCGGACAGAGAAAGTTTGAGAACCACAGAGTTGATGCAAAGTGTCTCGGGGAGCTGATTTTAAACGTTGACAGGCGGGATGAGTGGGTGAGATTTCTGAGATGGCTGGCGATGAACTTTTTATACAATACCTTCCACTTTGAAGCAAGCGAGAGTGTAAGAAGAGAAAAAGTGGACACAGGAGAAAGAAAGAAAGAAAGAAAGAGCAGGAAATGAGAACAAATAGCCACAAGGAGAGAAAGACTGAAGCAAACAGCAGAAAAAAGCAGAACAGCAGATAAAATGAGGAACGACAGGAGGGCAGATCACTGCATCACTACTGCTTACTGTGGACACGAGCCATCAAGAAGAAGAACAACATGCAGAGATTCACCTGTCATCGGCTGGACACAAAGGCCTGCCTTTGGTACACAAAGAGATAAACGAGGAGAAGAGGAGGAAAACGCAGAGAAGCTACTTACATCTCCGTTCATCAGCTTGCAGTCGTCCTCCATCTCGTCAGCGCTGTCCTCGTCAGACACGTCTCCCTCCTCCGCATCCTCGTCAATGTTTGGAGGAAGTTTCTTCCCCTTTTGTAGAAAAACAAAACAAGTCAGTGGAGATTCACATCATTATCTTAAACAGCTGCTAAGTCCATGTAACGTACCTGTGGGTAAAGTCAATATCTATGTTCTGTTTGAAGATTCCCAGAAGCTTTAAATCATCTTGTACATTTTTTTTATCTTTAAAAAACTCGAGCAGGGACTCTCAGCTTTCAGTAAATGATCTTTTAATAATAAAATATATAGAAATATTGAATGTGGTGTGTTTAAATGGATACTCCTTCTATTAACATCTGAAACATTGGGTGCTTAAGAGCTTATTTCCCAGCTTGAAGCTTTTTTGAATGGGTGTGTATGTAACTTCTTGTGCTTCTGCAGCCAGCCTCTGGTGGACACTCGAGGAACTGCAGGATTTTACACTTCAGCTTCAACTTCAGTTAACAGCACAGCTTGGTCCTGCAGGTGTTTTATGTCATCTTGTTTCCCTAAATTTTACTTTCTCCTTTCTGGTGGAGGACATTAGAGATGCTTGAAGAGGCTGCACTGGCGATAATAAATTCTAGTTTTGACTGAAAATAGCACAGGTTACTCCTTATAAATAACATGAAGACAGATTTACAGAGCGTACGAGCTCAGATCCATCAGAGGAGCGCATTTGTAAAAGAAAATAAGACGGATGAAGTGTCAGAAGCTTGAAAAGAGCATTTGTCTTCCTTTCAACAGGCGCATTACTTGTTTTTGTTGTAAAGTTATGGTTTATGTGTTGAAGAGAAAGAGTCTGACATCACGTCTAAGGGATAAAGTCGGTAAATTCAGACTGAGCTCATCCCTTGGGAAAGAGCTGCAGGAAACACCGACACTTTCTAAATCACAAGTCGTCTGAAAATACTCGTCCTGTGTGAAAATGGTTTTAATTAGCAATCAAGCTGACGCTGATACGTGTAGAATATTTCAACATTTGTCAACATGCTGCAAGCTTGTTCAGGTGTTGTTTCCTGTTCGAGAGGATCAACCATCTTCTCTATCTGACGCGTAATTACTCATGGTGAGTTAAAGAGGACATATTCTCTTCCTTCTTCACCTTTTCAAACAGTCCCCTGTGGTCTAAATGAAACATCTGTGCTGTGCTTTGGTCAAAATATAACATGAATCAAGCACCAGAGGAGGTTTGTGACCCTGTATAAACCAGCTCTCTCAGAATGCTCCGTTTTGGTGTGTGTCTCTTTAAATCCCCCCCCCCCCCCCTGAGTTTTCCCAGTAGACATCACTCCTCTGTAGAGAGAATAAAATTGGCTGACCTGCGCTAAAGTTTTGTTCTAGGCTGGGGTGGAGCCCATGAGTGGAGATACCGGGGGGGGGGGGGGGATAGGGGATTTTGTTTTACCAGAATCCCACTGTGACATCACAAGGAGAGTACATTTAAAACAGAGCATTTTTCTCTGTGTTTTAAGACTTATGCAGACCACAAACAAAGGACTGGATGGGTTTATTTCACATGTTGTGGGTCAGTAGACACTGTACAAGTGGATTTTTCAGAATATGTCCCCTTTAAGCTTATGTGATGGTGGTGGTCTGTCTCTCCCTAAAGGAGAACCAAATGATTGATTAAAAACTGGAGCGGGCGTTGGGTACATTATAAAGCAGCCTGTCTTGTTGACAGGAACACCGTCAGTGTTAGCATTGTTTATGTAGCCAGGCCTTGTTAGAGCCGATAATCCCCATCCTTTTATGGTTGTCTTGACATTATCTTTGTCTCACAATCCCCTCCTGCCGAGCCGGAGCGGCCGAGCCGTGCAGAGGATTTAGTAGCCAATAAAAACCTGTTGCACGTAATTCCATTCTCATCGACACAGGACGAGGCGGAGATATGAGGGAGAAGTCTAACAGAGAACACGATCGTGGTTCAGTCGATATTTTGGAAACGGAGAGCCTGACACTCTGCAGCAGAGATGGATTTTTATGATGAAGTTAGACAGTTGTAATCACTCTGAATAACATGGAGGCGTCGTCCCACAGCAGGTAACACACCGACCCTGAGACACACAGGTAGGCCTCCTGGTGCACCAGCTGGCGCAGCGCCTTTCTCGTGCCAGGTGTTGGTGAGATGCCTTTACTTCAGTGAACACATGTAATGTTAATAAAGCCTCATTAATCCTGCAGCCCTCCTCTGCTAGCACACATCATCTCCTGCCTCCGTCGGTTAAACACGGGTATTAAACTCTGATTTGATGGTTGATGTTATAAACTCGGTCAAAGTGCCGACTAGGAGCTTTTACAATCACTGCAGAAGACGTTTGGGTGAATCTAAAGAGACGTTTGGTGCAGAAATGAAGATTTCTTTTAATGATGTTTGCATCCATTTAATTGACGCTGTAATGAAGAAATCTGCAGGTGTTAGTTTGCACACCAGACATTTAACAAGATTTTCATTCAACACTTTCTCACTTTGCAGGATCCATCAGACTCTCTTCCTTTAATTTTAGTTGTTTTTAACTTAAATATCTTTCAGGATAAAGAATTTTAGTCATCAAATGTCTTTGGGTTAACAGAGAAAATAAGCCAAGCTAAAGTTAGCAACAGCTTAGCTTGCAGCCCCTGAAGTCCTGCTGAAGAGGGAGACACAGATTTTATTTTGTGTTTTTCTCACAGGGTCAGTTTGGTTTGTTTATTTGAGAGGAGAGGACATCTCTGGATAAATACACTCCTAGTGAAAAGCTCAGAAGCCGCGACTGAAAGAAATCTATCCTAAAAACAAATTGAGCTGCAGGAAACTAATGAGGCAGCCCTTAAATAAATTTACCTTTACTACTTTTAAATAAAAGGATGCACTTCTATCATGTTAATCACCTCAGCATTGTTAAAGGCCACATATCCTCCTCTTCTTCAGTGTAAATAAGTCTCAGAGCTCCTCAAAACGTGTGTGAAGTTTCTTGTTCTAAATCCACTCTGATCCTGTATTTGATCATGTCTATAAACCCCTCTATTTCAGCCCTGCTCAGAACAAGCTGTTTCTGTGTCTGTACCTTTAAATATGTAAATGAGCTGTGTCTGACCACGCCCCCTCTCTGGAAGGGCTTGGGTGTACTCGAGCATTCTCGCTCAATGTCCTATTGTTTACGGTGAGAAGGCAGACTCAGAGGGCAGAACAAACACCTCGCTGTGGGAGTGTCACCCACCTGGGGGAGGGGTTACTGCCCTTTGTGATGTCATGAAGGGAAAATCTCCAAACAGCCTGTTTGAGCACACATTTTCTGAAAAGTGGAGCAGGCAGAAGACGGAGAGGATGGACTTTTCTCATCATTGGGGGGTTTGTAGACAGACTATTAGAGTTAGTGTTATCTCAACCTGAGAACTTGCAGAAGCACTCAGAGCTCAGAGCTCAGAAAGTGTCATTTGAGGACTTGGAAGTTCTTTATGAAGTCAGAGCAAAGTGAGTGAAGCTGAAGCCCTGAACTGAGTCTGATGTGCAGCCGTCAGATCATTTAACCAATCATCCGTGGTCGTCTCGAGATAACGTCTTTCATTAACAACAGATCAGTGTGCTCAGATAACAAGCCATCCAGCAGTCTGCAGGTCCTCCACATGAACAACTGAAGCTCTGTATTCCCTCCTGTTTGCATCCCGCCCTCTCCTCCCAAACATGTCAACACTTTCTAATCACAGCTCTTCAATCAGCCCACTGTGTGCCTTTGAAGTCTGCTCAGTGGGCTTCAAACCTGCAATAATTATAAAACAACGGGCTGAGATAATCACCTGAGGGATGACTCACTAGTTATTTAGGGTGCACCCCCCCCCACCTCCCCTCCTTACCTTGACCAGGATCTTGCCCTTGAGTAAATCTGGTGACGGCAGCCGTCCGGACTCTTCAGCTTTGATGTTGGACACGTCCAGTTTGTCCCCGAGGATCTCAATCAGGTACTGCGCCATCTTCTTCTGCTGAGGAACACTGCAGTGGTTCTCGATGGACAGGATGACGGGGTAGCTGACAGAGAACCAGACAGAAACAGGCTGAGTTAAAGGTTCAAGCTGAAGGTGAGAAAACAACGCTTAAGCACTCTGAATATAAAAAAGAGCTGCTGCAGGGTTTGCACCGTATCAAAGATTCACATTCACAGCTCTGTTAACCCCGCCACAGTAAAGACAACAGACACTGTTCAAAAATAACAAAAGACATTTCAAAGCCTGAATATCAACCAAAAGGAATAAAATACACAAATATCACATTTATCACATTTTCAATAAGACACCAAGCTCTGCCCCAGAAAAGGGGAATGCTGCTAATGCTGCTAAAGGAGAGATCCTGCAGTGCATGCTGGGACTTAAAACAGACATGTGCACGACAATTACAAAACTCTCACTTGCCCAGAACCCCGGAAAAACTCATCCACGCCTTTGACTCCTCCTGATGAGGCGGAGAAATTATGAACACAATATGGTTTCATTGGGAAACAAATGGGTGTGTGAAGAATATTTTTATCTAGTTTGATGAATAAATCCAAGAGATTAGAAATACAAACGGTGCTTATCCAGTGTTACGGTGCAAAGCATCCTCTGGGCTTTTATTGGCTTGTTTGGACTTGTTGGGGAGCTGATTGGATCCTTGTTAACTATTAACCTATATCTCAAGTATTAACTGTCAATTAGCAGCTCTGTGGGATTTAGGATTCCTCTGGACTGAGTCCTTTTTCTTCTCAGAGTGAGGAGCTGCTTTGTGAATGGACCATGTTCCCACATATTTAGGATTAATATTCTCCTGCCTCCTTTTACTACATTGTTGGGAGCTGCTCCAAAACTCACCAAAGTTTGAGGTAATGTTTAAGGTTGTTACTGCTTTCCTGCGTCTGTGGCACAACCCCGACACGGCCAAAGTGTGAAGGCCCGTTTAGGGTTTCTGGCAGCTCCAGTTTATTGTTATCATTGTGTAAACTTGTGCTGAGGCAGTTTTTGAGATCTTTTCCCTCAGTTTTAAGAGAATCCTGAGGCGGCAGCAGCTCTGTCTGTGGGGACTTGAGTTGGGAATCGGAGGGTCTCCGGTTCAAGTTCCGGTGCGGACTAAATTTGGAAATTGGTCTGGTAGCTGGGGAGCTTTCCTGAGCACTGCCGAGGCGCCCTCGAGCCCCGCACCAGCTCAGGGGGGCTTGCTGTGACATCATCAGTTCATGTCCACAGGATCCTGTTTGTGCATGTTTGTGCAGCATGTCTCAATAACAGAGTGTAAAATTGAATTTCTCCTCTCAGGATTAGTAAAGGATATCATCTTCTTCTTCATAAATGTGCTTGATAAGTAAGGTGACAGACTTTGGTTTTTATTCAACATACACTGAAGCTTAAAGTCAGTCCTACACTCTTAAGTGTCCTCAGCTCTGAAAAGATGACACTTCAAAGTCAGACTTGGTTTCCCTTGTAAAAGACTCCAGAATGAATCCTCCTTCATCTTTGAATCCAAATTGCATAGTTGGGATCTCTGGATGAACACGAGTGTATTGGACTCTTCTCTGACTCCTCGTTCACGTCATGCAGGCTGAAATGATTCCCCGTCTGAGTCAGATGGATGATTTCTTCTAATTTTTGTCCCCGTCAGCCCTCAGAGGTTTTTTTTATCCAGCTCACTGGAATAATCAGATCGCTTTGAAGCTGAATTCAGCCTTCCACCCTGCGCCTTTTTAACTGATTATCTGAGGAATACAGTGTCAACGATTCTGTTTTCAGAAACACACAGTGAGTGTGCACACAAAGCCAGTGTTCCTCCTTCTTTTTCACTTGAAGAGACGGGATCTAAAAATAGAAATCGTCTCTGCTTCCTTAAGGAGGAAGAGGAGGAGGAAGAGGAGGAGGAAGGGGAGAGGAGGAGGAAGAGGAGGAGGAGGAGGTGGAGGAAGGAGGAAGAGGAGGAGAAGAAGTGGAAGAAGAGGAGGAAGAGGAGAAGGAGGAGGAGGAAGGGGTGGAGAAGGAGGTGGAGAAGGAAGAAGAGGAGGAGGAGGAAGAGGAGGAAGAGGAGGAGGAGGAGGAAGGAGGAAGAAGAGGAGAGGAGGAGGAAGGAGGAAGAAGAGGAGAGGAGGAGGAAGGGAGGTGGAGAAGGAGGAAGACGAGGAAAAAGAGGAGGAAGAGGAAGAGGAGGAGGTGGAGGAAGGAGGAAGAGGAGGAGGAGGAGGTGGAGGAAGGAGAAAGAGGAGGAGGAGGAGGTGTGTGTGTTTTTTGTATCTGTTTCTGATTTGTAGAGAAACATCTGTGTGTGGTTTTTATTTACTTTGTGAAGTAAATGAAAAACGTGAATAAATGAGTCAAGACAAATAAAGAGTCTATCTTCAAAACAGATCACAAATATTCTGGTCTGTCAGCTGATATAAAACATCTCAGGGATGTCAGAGTGTTAATCTTAATGTTCTGTGTATCTTTGATCTCTGGGGGGGGGGGCAGAATGCTGCAGGGCTTCCAGGGGAGGGCTGCTCTCCAGTGCTGGAAGAAGAGAGACTATGGCGATTTGCAGAATGACCTGTTTAGCGCCCTCTGCAGACTGACCCTGGGATTCCTCCAACAAACGTTTACCTCATGAGCTGATACTTTGCCCATGTTTAGTTTGGAAATCCAGAATTGTAACACTATATGTGAGTTTTTAAAATGGGGATCAGCAGAATAGGTCATTTTGGGATATTTGCGTTTACTGGGTCCTGCAGGTGGATCAGTTCTAGATATTTTAGCATCAATAAGACGATACGATTTCACAGTCAGTAAACACCATCATGCATGAACCCATGAGGGAACGCTTCGACCAGACTGAATGCATCACAACATGTTTCAAACACATTAAAACCATCCAACCATGGGATTGTACTCCAACACACAGGCGCTACGCTTTAACCATCCCACACGCTGTGTAATGAATACCGACAGCACACAGGCACACACACTGCAGGGTCATTTTCAACATGCATATTACACACACATGTTTCATGGTCTGTCAGTAACCATCAGAGGAGAGACGATGGAAGAAAGTGATCTACAGCAGCGAGTGAGTCGGTGAATCAAATAAATCAAAGGCAGGCTGAGGACGTAGTGTGTGTGTGTGTGTGTGTGTGTGTGTGTGTGTGTGTGTGTGTGTGTGTGTGTGTGTGTGTGTGTGTGTGTGTGTGTGTGTGTGTGTGTACATACTCGTTCTTGACGAAGGCGTACTTGTTGATGGTCTCGATGACGTCTTTGAAGAGGATCTTGGAGGTGAGGGTGTAGCCGTGGTGGACAATGGGCTCGCCGTCCTGACCGTCCCAGCAGTCCACTGAGGACAGGGGGACAAAGAGACGTCGTAAATCAAAACGAACAGAGAGATCAAACCGACACTTTAAAAACGTATTCTGACCTAAAACAAATTCAGGTAATGACAAAACCAACAATCAGAAGTCTACAGTTATTTACTTTGTCAGGAGCTTGACTTAAAAAGTAGTCTGACACTGATGCGTTTCTTTCTACTACATTTTTTAAATTTGAGATCGTTTATTTCCCGATCAGACACGGCGCGAGGAGGATGTTTGTACAAGACACGATCTGTAGGGGGCAAAAACTACGGGGAATATCAAACATTTGGAAAAGAGGAGCGGTGTTGTCAAGAGCGCCCTCTGAAAATATTAAACTTGAGAACCCGGAGCAGCTGCAACAAAAAGGATGGAGCACTCAGAAAAAAGACGCTGGGCGCTGAGCTAGTTTTCCTTCAGGCCGCCGTCTGCTGCAAACTCTCTCTGCTCTTTGAAAACAACTGAAAAAAGACGCTGGCGATCAGAAAAAGTCGTAAGGTGGACACAAGGCCATATTATGTATGAATGACAAAGTTCATAATCTGCTAACAGCAGCTTGTGTCTTTAGATCAAACTCTGCTGCTTGTTCCCTCACCTTCCACACAGCGACAGCCGGCCTGCAGCACCCAGGCGTACATGTCCACCCTGGACTGAGACATCAGCTGGTCTCCCATCAGGTAGGTGTTGTGCGAGGAGGCGATGAAGTAGTTGCACAGCGGCTGGTTCATGTCCTGGTTCACCTCGTAGTGGGCCGGGTTGAAGATGTCTCCTTCAGGGCTGCGCGTGTAGTTTGTTAAACCTGGAAGAAACAAAACAGCAGATAGATGTTTCACCCTTAGATGGAACTAAAGATGATGCTTGGAAAGTCACTATCAGCTTATCTGACCACAGGAACTGTTTCATAGTTCTAGGAACTGTTGGAACCCTCCCCACCCTTTAATTTTTTTTAAAGATTTGTTTTTGGGCTTTTTGTGCCTTCATGGAGAGAGAGAGGACAGTGGATAGAGTCGGAAACCAGGGAGAGAGAGTGGGGAACGACATGCGGGAAAGAGGCCACAGGCGGGATGCGAACCCAGGCCGCCCGCTTGACACGACAGCCTCAATACAACCCTCCCCCTTTTTTATTGATTCTGCACCGCAGAAAACTATTTTAGCTCCCAGAACCCCGTTTAGAGGAACCTTTTAAGCTGCAGCATTAGAGGAGATACCATGGTGGTGCAAATGCAGACAGAGAAAAATAGTCAACATGGTGTTTAGTTCTCAGGGAACAAAAAAAAAACACACACACCAAAAACACCTTATGACAGTCTACAAGAGATGAAAGGGTCGATATTCTGGGCCAGCAGGTCTTGAATCCTTAAGTCTGCAGGATCGGGTTAAAATCAGGACTTTAACGAGAAGTCTGACCTCGGCATGACTAATAATGTTTAATTTTGTACTTCAGTGTTCCTTCTTTTCTTTGATTTTGTTTCCTTTATGTAACTGTCTTTCTCAGTTTCTACTCATATTACAAAGAAAGGTCTCTTGCACTGAACACACTCTTATTGTGAAAATCCAGAGAATCCACCTGGCAGTGCTCCAAACTTCACGGGTTCCTGGCAGGGGGTTTCAGGTGCTCTATCGAACACACATTATGTTGTCTTTCCAAACAGACCCTGAGCTTTGTCTAGAAGGCAACTTGTAAAAATATTCATCTTCAAAGTAGACGTGCGATTAAACGGACAAAATGCAAATCAAACGTCAGCATTAGTTCATGACTGTGGCTGTCTACACCTTTAGTGAAAATAACTTTCTGGATAATATGAAAAACCTCCCATCCCACATCATCCACTGTACCACTGTGTGTGGATTATTTATACTGGGAGTGTACCGCTCATATTCATTTCAGCCTCGAGGTGAGAAGCAGACATTTGTCTCTCACTGTTTAGTTTTGATTCTTATTATGTTTCTTTTTTTAAACCCATGTTTGCGTTGACTGTCTTTATTATTATTTCTCTTTTTTTCTGCAGTTTTCTGTGCGTCCTTAAGTTGACAGAGCAAAAAATGTAATCTTTAGAAACAGTTTTTTTGGAGCAGAATTGATCCATGTTGTTAACGGACGTCAGAGCGGGAGCTGCAGCAACTGTCAAACTGACCTTGTAGAGAAACATTTACACACACACACACACACACACCGAGATTCAGCAGTGATGAGCAAAGTATTCAGCCAAAACGGAAAACGTCTATGACACCTCCCGCTAAGATCATAACACATGAGAGGAAGACTCACCGTCGATTCCCAGAACCCCTTGCTTCTGGTTTTCTGAGCACGGCTCAAACTTGTTGATGATCTCCAGGCAGTGCTCCTTGGACACTTTGGTCATCTGTGGATAACAGAAGCACATGAGTACATAATGTTCTAAACGCTTAAAAAACTGAACGAGAGAACGCGGTAACCTTGTAATGCATGATTAGGAACATTTAACTCCAGTGATGAGAAGAGCGCTCCTACATGTCATCTTTGTGTCCATCCAGCAGCAGAGTCAAACTGTTAGTCTGCTGTCTGCTCTTTAAAGCCCCTCATTGATTGATGAAGGGGGAGGGGACAGTCAGTCATCTCTCCTCGCTCACACTGTGTCTGTGATTTTATGACATGTTACAGAACCATGTGCAGCACAGCATCCCGCTGGGACTTTTTTTTTTTTTTTTTTTTTTTAAACATACCGAGTCTCAAAATGTGTTCAAAAAGGAGGTAAACTTAATTCCATCTCATCGTAATCCGGATAAAACTCTGCAGAGGTTCGCCCAGAGCTCGCACAGCCTGCTGTTTCTGACAAACACGCTGCAAGACTTCTCTGCAGCTTCACAAAGATTAGTGAGAGGAGACGATAGTTTAATCCTGATTTTTTTATAGAACCCAAATGTGAAGAATTTTAAACTTCAGACTTTAAACTTGCTTTTTTTTTTCGTTGCAGATGAGGTCATGTAATCATGATTATCTTCAGACAGTACAGACAGTGGAATACACTGATGCTCACTGCTGCATAGAAGACAAATATGTGGCCATAAAAAGCCGTTGTTATCAACCAGACTGATGACCATAAAAGACTAACACAGAACTTCCACCAGAGACGGACCGAACATGAATAGTAAATTGTCAGTTTTTTTACAGCAAATCTGGTTTTTGCATTTTGATCCATTTAATTCCCCGCCTGTTATTTGCTTCTTAAGGATCTGTTTTTATTCTTTTTGGAAACAGATTCTGGCGATCATCTGCCATCAACACTTTTCATTTTATCATCAGTTCCAGAAAAACACAAAGTAAGACACACAGGAACTCTCAGACGCTAATATATGCACACACTGGAGTCGTTTACATCCTTTGTCGTGTTGAGGCATAAAAAAACAAGAACAAAGTGTATTGTTAGGGATTCAAGCCGAGCCAACTCTGCAGCCACTTGGCATCATTTCAAACATATCGCTTCACAGACGTGCTTACACCTCTCTCCAATAACGGGAGGAGGAACGACGACTCCTGCACGGCGCCAGAACTAGACAAAGAGTTTAATTGGAGAGAAACTCAGCCTGTGTGAGAGGAGCCTTCTGCTCTTAAACTGACAGTTTCTACACATTCAAACAGCCTGTTGGAGCACAAATTAGCTGAAGGAGCGCACGCGCACGCGCACGCACACGCACACGCACACGCACACACACACACACACACACACACACACACACACACACACACACACACACACACACACACACACACACACACACACACACACACACACACACACACACACACACACACACACACACACACACACACACACACACACACACACACACACACACACACACACACACACACACACACACACACACACACACACGGGGCGGTTAAAGAGAAACGAGCTGTTGCGCTCATTTGCACATTTCTTTCTCAGTGGATGGTATCATTAGTGAGGAGATGTACTTTATCCTAAAGCCCTTTATAACAGCATCTTGAGGGTGGTGATGGTACGAATGCTAACACCTCTGCAGGGCTCTCACTGGCTGCTTCTCCCTGCACTAAGCGCCACTTTAGCGTTGTGATAGCTGCTCTGTAAGCTCAAGACGTCCAACCTCTCAGAAGCTACAACAAGCATCCCTCAGGGGATTATAAGAATCCCAACACTGAGTCAACATTTGTGAAGAGAGACAAACTTCTGTTAGAGTGTCCTTGATGAATGTATAGCGCATGGACGTACTCTCAGTGATGTCACTCACTGGTTTCTCAAGCATGCGCTGTTCCCTTATCTACACGTTGAATAGATGTCCTGCCCCACAGAATCAAGGTGTTACAGATCATAGTCTATGCATGCTCTTTAAAGGGGACCTATTATGAAAAATCCACTCTTACAAATCCACTCTACCAACCCACAAAATGTGAAATAAACCCATCCAGTCCTTTGTTTGTGGTCTGCATAAGTCTTACAACACAGAGAAAAATGCTCCCTTTCAAATGTGCCCTCCTTGTGATGTCACAGTGGGATAAAAAATCCCCTCCCCTCCCCTGGTATCTCCACCCATGGACTCCACCCCCAGCCTAGAGCAAAACTTTTGGGCAGGTCGGCCATTTTTATTCTCGCTACAGAGGAGTGATGTCTACTGGGAAAACTCGCGTCATTGCATTTAAAGAGACACACACACCAAAACGGAGCGTTCTGAGAGAGCTGGTTTATACAGGGTCACAAACCTCCTCTGGTGCTTGATTCATGTTATATTTTGACCAAAGCACAGCACAGATGTTTCATTTAGACCACAGGGGGACTGTTTGAAAAGGTGGAGAAGGAAGAGAATAAGTCCTCTTTAAAATCAAACGAAGGTCCTTTCAGTGATGTCTGTGGATTAATTTATGTTTATGTATTAGATTCACTGAGTTTAATTAAACTGTAAAGGACACAAAAATAACAACCCCTGAATCCAGTTCCCCGTCAGAGTTCATCTCAATCTGCAGCAATGTTACGCTCTCGGTGAAGCACTTGGGGCCGGAGGAGAACTGACCTCAAAGTGGAACGCTTCCAATTTTAACATCAAAGTCTACAAGTCCAGAGGAGTGAACTGCTGCAAATGTGAAAAAAACCAAACTGGAGTTATATAAAGTTTCTCGTCGCTCCAGAGGAAGATGTGTGAAATCTGGTGATGACGGTTTGGGCTGATGACGACAAGTTTGAAAAGTCTGAGTGTCTGAGCGTGCCAGACCTCTGCAGCCTGCTCCTCATATCTGCATGAGGCTCCACGCTACATCAGCAGCTACTAGAGCGACCATAAATCTGTTAGTAAGACCTGGATACTGAACCCTAAAAGAAACGCTTGCTTGATGCACACTAGGGCTGATTCTTACTCTAAACTCAAGAATTTGAGGGATATAAACGATGATATCTCTGGTGCTGCTGCGTTGATTTGGGTGCTTTAAATAAGAACATAGGATTTCCAGTAGAGATTAAATAGTCAAAATGAAAACAGTGGTTACCTTCTGCTCCGTCTCCATGAAGCGCACCAGGTCGTCGACGTCCAGGTGGTCTTTGTGGTTGCTGTAGGTGAGCATGAGGAGGTACAGGTCTCTGCGGGTCGACATCATCTTGTAGAAGGAGCAGAACTCCTCGAAACCCAATGTGCCCTGGTTGTCATCTGTGTCGGCCTCCTGCACAAACGAACACCAGAACCACTTTTAGTTTTTTGTGTGTTTTCCAACACGTGAACACAGTTAGATCCTCAACGTCTGAGGCCGCTAGGTTATAGATTACATTCTGCTCGACTGCTATCCCATCAAAGTGATCCATGTGTAAAATCTTCATGCTTTACTCCAGACTCACAAAGTCCCTGACGTCATGTGTACATATATTTTCCTCCTATCATATTTAGCATGCACTCTTAGCCTGTGATTTTCAGTGAAAGTGTGTAGTTAGATTTTGTTCAATGTTGTGCTAGAAGTGTCAGGTGTTTTAAAATGCTGACAGTGTAACTTGACATCCTCATCCAAAGGGTTTTTAAATGACTCAACTTTTTGTCTTTCCTTTGTCAAAGAAAACATCCTGACAGTGCTGAAATAATTCTTGTCAAAACCACTTGACTTGCTGTTCTTGGTTTAACGATGAACAAGCTGAAATCTGAGACGTTGTCCCAGACGTCAAACATCAGCAAACCAGATAGATGTAACACACACCTGACGTATTTGATACAGCTTCATTGGTCTTATACTGAGAGGTTTGGTAATCTGTAAAGACTCTCAGTCAGACTATAAAAAGGCGATGGTTGTATATGGAACGAGGTTAATGAGAGCGCGGCAGTGGGTCACGGCATGAGATAACGGACTGGTGTAATCCTGTCCTCTGTGTTCCTGAGACCGTCTGTGAGCGGCTCCATATGTCGAGCTGCTGCTGAGGCAGACGCTCGGTGTGATGACGCGTGCGCCGCTCTGAGCAGCAGAGACGACTGTACACACTGAGCTTAGACTCGACCTTAAAGAGGGATCCATACTTTAATATTCCACTGTATCACATGTCCACTGTGTGATGGGGATACTTTAATAAAGAACTGAATATTAAAACTGTCTGGATTGCAAACTTAATTCTGTGCTGGAACACTTTTGGGAGGAGATGAATGTGAGAGGCTTCTTGTCATGTAAAGGATAACAGCGATGTATCAGGGAGTGTTGAGAACTCTTTTAGTTTCCTCAGCAGCGTCCAATTACTGGCTGATTATTGATGCACACTGGACTGAATGGATACTGGATAATACTTGATTCACTTAAACGCAGAGATGGGTAGAGGTGATGGAAAAAAAATGGATTAATGTCAGAATCAAAATAATAAATTTTTAAGATTCTGAATCAACTTAAATGTCCAGAAATCCGTTTATCAAAATGTACGTTCTTATGTCCTAATCACATTTTTACCAGCAGCCAGTTTGCGCACGACACACCCACTGCTGGCATTTTCTTCCTTGTGATGTCTAACTGTTAAATTCCCCCGCCTGAGCGCCATCTCAGCTCCGTCAGCCCGGAGTCCTCTGCAGCAGATACACAAGGCTTCTAATTTTTCTTGATGCCGGAGCTCAGAGCATCGATTTAGGAAGTCAGACACCGAAAAAAAACATTAAAACATCTGGTTTATTTTCAGAATAAAACCCTCTGTTATGACGGGTGAGAACAATGACCAAATGTTTGTTTGTTGTTGTGATTATACTAATTTTATACCACATACATCGTATTATCTGGCGCTGTTGCTTGTGAGTCTCAAGGTACTCAAGCTGTCCGTTGGCGCAGCGCTCTGAGAACGCAGCCTGTGAGTGTTGACGGACGAGGGAAGACAGAGAGAGAGGGGGCTCCATGTTCCAAACCAGGACATTTTATCAGAAACTTCTTGAAAAGACTCAAAAGGTTTACTCAGCTATATGTCGACATTTTCTGAGCTTTTTCGTCGGCTTGCTAAAAAATGTGTCGACCGTGCTAACTTCATCGTTAGTAGATTTCAGGCTTCATTCTGTAAAGACGAGCTCAGAGCTGGATGCACACATTAACGATGTGCGGTCAGACCGACAGGCCTGAACGCAGCCACTCGTGTCCCCCTCTCAAATCGATCAAAACTTTTGTTGTCACTCGTCTTCACCCTCAAAACTTGTTCCACACACACACACACACACACACACACACACACACACAGGAAGCAGAATGACTCGCAGACACAAGACAAACACTTCATGTCACCAGTCTCAGCTGCCGGCTCTGCATACATGTCACTTTGTCGGAACCAACTGTGACCGAGTGACACGGAAGTGACAGGCACAGATGCATAGAGACAGGATTACTCAGATGGAAACAGTTATTAAGAATGTCTGCTCTGCAGCCTGTCTGTGCCGAGACAGGCTGCAGTGACACATGTTGGTTTTCTGTTATTTAACAAAAGAATCAGTTTGTGCTTTTTATATTACAATGATAAGGACCATATGCATCACAGGCTATCACTTTACAAAAATAGTGACAACAGCCAGGTCGTCTGCAGTCTTGTGACATCCACACACTACTACTAAACTCTACAAGATGTTTAACCCTCATGCATCACTATGGACATTTTTATCCATTTGGTCAAATTTGACCTCTAAATCGGGCCATCATTTTGTCTGTGTTAGTGCATATGGCATCATTTTTTGTAAGAAAGACTCTCTCTTGACACATTTTGGAATGCACGTTTTCATTTTTTTAGTTTGATTACATGATTCTGGCATTTAAAGGGTTAAATTCCTGATACTTATTCAATATTTGATATTCTTGAGCAGGGCTGGAGTTGTTTAAGAGATTTATGCAACAAAAAAAAAGTACAAAAAATAAATGAATCTGTTCTATTTTTAAAGCAGTTTTTGTAAATTGGACATTTTCGCCCTCCAATTTCCAAACAGGGAACTACATTTTAAATCTGATGCTACACAAAAACTAACAATGCATCAAAGTCAATATTTTGGATAATCTTTTACATATCCAAGACTGATTTGAAAAAAATCCCCCTAGCCAATATTTGTTATATGGAAAATAACTCATTTTTGTGTTTTTTTCTTAAATAACAACAGTGACATCAAGTAATCAAGCTTTAAAAGGGTTATATTTCTAAAAATGATTGAATGTTTGGTAGTTTTGAGCAGGGCTGAAGTTGTTTAAGAGATGTATGCAGAAAAAAGTAAAAAAAATATCAATCTGTTCTATATTTATAGCAGTTTTTTGGCATGGACATTTTTGTCCTTAGTGACTTAAGAGGGTAGTAAATTAATCTAATGCCTGAGGGTCAAACTGTCAGTGAAGAAAACTGTGACTGAGGTACATATTGAACCGAGGGCTGACTGTGGGTATCGATGCATCTGTAATCTGTATTTATTTGAGTTGAAGAATTCATTTTTGGAAGCAGCACTCTTTCTCGGGACAGACGTTAGCCACAGGAGGCTAACAAAGTAGAACAGAGTCCTTCTTATTGGACCAAAAACATCAATCCAGCCTTATTCCCTCCCATTCATTATGCATGACCTCGGGCACTTAAGTTGTTAGCACGCCTGAGCTCTGTGCTTTAGCTCTAACAGCTAATATGGATTAATTCATCACTTAGCGCCGCAGCTTTCACTCCACATGTGCGTCTGTGAGTCTTTGGGGTGATAAATCATTGAGCAAAGAGAAACTGCAGAAGAAAGCTACAGATCTGTTTCTCGTTTCTTCCACATCCCACCTTCCACATCCACGAGGAGAGGTCTGTAGGCTGCAACATGGAGTTTTACAGTAACACAACTTAAAGTCGTGTTTTTATTTTTCTTTGGGAGGGAGGGGGGGCATCTCACCTCCACCAGACAGGACAGCTGATGAGAGACAGGAAATGCCAGGAGGAGAGAGCGGGGAATGACACCAAAAAAGGGCGGAGTCTGAACCCGCCCGGCCGTGAAGCACCCTCAATAGTGCAGCTTTTTCATGCTTTTTAACTATTCTCTATTTAAAAAGTTTCTAGCTTTTAAAACAAGCCTCATTGAAATCTTTGGTACAAAACATAAGAAATAATTTAAACAAAGAGTTACAATTTATCCTCAAATGTTTGCAGCATTGAGTTCTGACAGAGACCTGAGACATCAGATCAGTAGTTGTCTTCATACTAGTTAAGGTGGGATAGTCCACAGGTTCTTTCTCTCTCTCACTGTAAGTGGGTTAAGCTGAGAAACTAGACGACTCACACACAAATCTTTGTGTGTGTATGCACACACACACACACACACACACACACACACACACACACACACACACACACACACACACACACACACACACACACACACACACACACACACACACACACACACACACACACACACACACACACACACACACACACACACACACACACACACACACACACACACACACACACACACACACACACACACACACACACACACACACACACACACACACACACACACACAGAGAGAGATCGATCCCTGGTGTGTTTAGCCTGCATGACATCGAGGCCATCTGTGTCCCTGCAGCACCATATGGATGAGTCCTGACAGACCTAGTGGATTTAGCGACGGCGAGGAGGAAGGCTAAAACAACCGTGTTAACACAACAGCACGCTAATCCTCCGCTGTGAGCCGAGTGTGTGTTAACAAACATCGGCAGCACGAGCAATCAGCCAGAGAGTCGAACTGCTCATTCACAATCCACCACACACACAGACCACACACTGAGGTCTCAGGTCACCACATAGAGCCCGTCCTAAAGAGAGATGTTCTATGCAGCGTTTCTTATTCACAGTGAAAGTTAAAGGCAGCGTTCTCAACATGTATTAAAATGCATGCTTAGTAAGTTTGTTGGATTGTTAATCAGCAGTTTTTCATAAAAACATGACATCCACTTGCAGAAGTTATACAGTTCTTTTTAAGATCTGACTTCTCCCTAAGCCTGCTGCACTTGTCTAAACTTATGTTTTTTTAAAAGCCCTCTCTCCCCAAAGAGCCCCAAGAGTGTTTAAATCTTAAAACGCCTTCTTGGAGTTTCAGTGCGTGCAGGCGAACAGGAAAATGTAAGCGTCTCTCTCTCTGGTTTCTGTCTTACACTTTGCCTTTTGCTGCAACTTCATGAACCCTCTTATTTATTTATTAAAGGAGCAGTATGTTACTCTGACATCTAGTGGTTAAAATGGGTACTGCAGTCTAAATTCTAAACATTGTAGAGAGCTGTCTCTCTCCCCCCCCCCCCTCCTCTCTAGAGTCCATGCTCACTCAGGTCACCATGTGGTGGACACTGAAGCTTCAGTGTTTATCCAGCTCTGCATGGGTCTGTAAACCTTTCTGTGTTCTAACCTCTCTCCATTTCTTAAACTCCCTCTGGGTTCTTTGCTCTCAGCTCTTTGTTTGCACGGACGTTAGAACACTTCAGTTTGTTTATGTCTCACTCAAACATGTTGCAGGATTTTTTTTTCTTCCAATTTGTTTTTTGTAGTTTTTCGTTTGATAGGCAATGATAGAAACAGCAACAGTTCTCCACTTTATGCATCATTGTCCCATCCAGTATGTTTCACTATTGGTCATAACACAGTGATGGCTGAAATGATAAAGTATAAAAGTTGAGAATGTGGCATTTGAGTGCTGATACGTTGTTCCTCCAATTCTCTACCAGGGAGCGATGCAAACAGCTTTTACTCGCTCATGACAACTTGTCTAAGAAATAATGTCTGACCAGCTGCTTGTGATTGACTGCTGGAAAGAGAAGTTCATCAAATCAAACTCCTGAATATCATAATGTCAGCTGTATTAAACGACAGGCCGCATAGCAGAGAAGCCAGTAATAAAACTGTCACACATCTGGCCGTGCCCTTCCTGTTCTCATACCTTGAACATCTGCTTGACCTTCTGTCTTGGCAGGTTGACGTTGAGTTTGTGCAGCAGCTGCAGGACCTCGCCGATGCTTAAGCTGCCGTCTCCATTCTTATCGGCCTCGGTGAAGGTCTGCTTCAGCCACGTGAGGACACAGAGGGTTAAGGACAGGTAACACAGATAAAAACATTCTTAAAAGGGTATATCTGGAGCTCAAAGTGAGACACTGAAGGATATTGATCTCTGGTCCTCTGTCTCTTAGCCAGGCTGTCTTCATCACTGATTCCAGCCATCAGGTATTTGAGTCCGGTGATCCAGGTGCGCGCCTCCTCTCCTGTGCCGGACACCAGGTCCAGGGACTCCATGTGCTCCCCATAGTACAGACTGAAGCAGCAGTTTGGGTCAAAGCTTCCCTCGGCGTACCGTTGGAAGATCTCAGACTGCTTCCCCTCACACACCTCACGGATCGAGTCGATGGAGACTGACGGAGGAAACAGAAAGACGGAGAGTTCAAAACAAAGTTGATCTGCTTCTGGAGTTTACTGAAGGACAGTTTGGATCTACTTTAACTCATTGTTATGACACTTTATACGTCTACATCTTTGTGTTTAATACACAGACAGATTCATCAGTATCTCTCAGCAGAGGGCCGATTAAACACACTTCATACTTTGTTAAACACATCATGAAGATTACTGAATGCATGTGTGAAAAAAGGTTTCATTTTGCTGCATTTTTGTGGTTTCTGACACATCAGGAAAACGAGTTTCCGAATTGTAAAATGCACATGAATGCCTGCTCAATTCGGGACAACAACTCGGAAACTCAGGGAAAAATTAGCTGCCGGACTTGCCGACTTGACGTCAGAATCTTCATCACGTGAGGAAAAATATGTTGTGTTAACGCTGTTCAGAGCTTCTGATGTCGATGGAGGGAGGCTCCTTTGCTTTAGCGTCCCAGCAGCGGGAGGGAAGACTTGCTTATTTCTGTAGTTTATTTACGCCTGGCCCTTAGTCTTTCATCTATCTGATAGCGAGTTCAGTTACTGTTTTATGCTTCTACTTCTTATAATTCACACTTTTTACTGGTGGAGTGAGCAGAACTTTTAGTTTGCAGCGTTGTGCAGCATCATTAAGCTTATAACACATCTAAACCTACTTAAAAAAAACAATGGAGCAAAAACTAAGTTTATTAAACCCAAATCATCCCTCTGTGGTTTTAATATTATTCTCCAGCTTCTCTGAATTCACACGCTGGCAGCGCTGTGAATGAATAGTCGTGGGCGCGGGGAGAGTTTAACCAGGAAATTCAGGTGTTATGATGTGAAGATATGAAGGACTTAAAAACACTCGACTCGGTTTATTAAGATGCAACATTTATGAGATGTTAATGACATTTTACTGGAAGACACTGCCTCCAGTCATTCATTAGTTTTCTCCCGCGACGACAAACACATGATAAGTACTTCTGTTCTTCGTTCTGCAGCAGCTTCATTCCTAAATAACCACCTACAGTATATACCCAGCTCTGTGTCCTCCACACAGCAACAAACATGATTTACATGCACGCTCATTCATAATGCAGTGATGGAGCTGAACACTCATGTACACACTCTGTCCCCTGGGCTGTACTCTATGGAAACCTGTGTTTTATGGGAGTATATTAAAATCTCCTGGCTGTCACAGAGGCCATCAACATGACACTCGACATGCTGCCGCTGTGTTTTGAGTGCTCCTGTGTGGCCGGAGTCACCACACGGTTTCCTGTGCTCCTGCTGCCTGCAGTTCTTTCATACATTATGGACAAGCATACGACAGGTAACATGTCCATAAGTATGACCCTACGACTCGTGTTCAGGATATGTGATGAGCCGCTGGCAGCACAGCTCGAGGATAATGATGTCAGGTTTTTCCACTTTTGAAAATGTCACAACCTGATTTGCAAACTACCACAGGGGCTCGCTCAGCACATCCATGCTGCGTTCAGGACCATCCAATCTGACTCTGAGGGCGTTTTTCACACCTATAGATCGTTTACTCTTTTCTGAGTCATGTACCAATTTGTTGCATAACTACCTCATTGTTAGCTAGTGTTCACTCAGGGGCATTTACAAGAGGACCGAAATGTGTGAAGCATGTGAAAATACTCTCTAAACAGTTGGAGCTTCTTGCAGGAAAATCCCTGAAGTAAACAAAGACTAGCTGAGTCCTGATTGGTTGTGGCTGCTGCAAAGACATTTTACAATTTCTAAATGGACGGACGACTTCTTAGACTGATGTCAGCTCTACTCATCAGTTTTCAGATTGTTTGCATTTATCACTGAAGGCAAATGATTCAGTTTGAAAATGAGGCAGCTCTAAAATAATATATTGACATTCTGGAGTTGCTGAAGGCGCTTATCGAGACAGTTCAGGAGAAGAAGGATAATAATCGTCCTGAACCAGGACCTGCTAGCAGGCTCCACATAAACAGAAGTTATAGTCCTGGATGTCTCAGTCACAGCTCTTTCTGCAGCCGTCTGTTCAATAAAAGGCAAAAAGGCCAAAAAATTAGCCAACCAAAGAGGGAGAGACTTTTGTCATTTAGAACACTGAAGGACAAAGAAATAGCGTCTCTGCTCTGCTGCTGTTTGCACATATTGAAATTAGGCATTCTGCAGGTTTTCAGGGGCACTTTCGGCCTCGTTTCCATGCAAATGAAAGTCTGATTCAATACCAGCACTCACAACCACTATACAGCAGGAGGGAAAGACAAGTTTATCTCTGTAGCACATTTCAGCAACAAGGCTTTTCAAAGAGCTTCACATCAAAATAATCAAGACAAAGTGCAGACAACACGTAAAAAAATCAGTCACACAAACCCTTCAAAATCAAACATGGGAAAAATAAAAACAGCAAAAACAGAAGTTAAAATATGAAAAGGAAGCTGCAAAACTTTCTCAAAGTATTTTTCTTGTCGTAGTATCGGCCTGATGAGCTTAGTGACCTGGTGCTAGATACGGGCAGACAGCGGTGGAAAATACTGAACGGAGGCAGTCGCTCAGTTTGTAGAGAGTGGGGTTGGGAACTGGAGGGTTGCCGGTTCAAGCGGCCGGACCAAGTCTGGATTTTGGTCTTGTAGCTGGAGAGCTGAGCACTGCAGAGGCGCCCTTGAGAAATGCACCAAAACCCAAACTTTTCAGGCGCTCCGTCATGTGTCGCCCCCCTCACTCTAACATCTCGCCATCAGTGCATGTCCACAGGATCCTGTTTGTACGTGTGTGTGTGTGTGTGTGTAGTATGTCTCAATAACGGTGTGTCAAAGTAATTCCCCCTCGTGGGATTAATAAAGGATGTCTTCTTTCTTCTTGAACAATTCTTGGTGACGTCAGCAGCTGCAATCCATTCTTTGTAAATTCCCCCTGAGTGCGGTCCTTCACTACCTCTGAACACCACAGCACAGGGACCGTGCTATCAGCAGGAGATTGTCTTTCAAGGGGTCAAGAATCAGAAATCAATGCCTCCAGGGTCTTCAATTAAATTCTGAGAATGAAGCATCACTGCTTGAGTTACGAGCCACTAAATGCATCAACACGGTAGATAACTAATTGTTAGCTCTAACGCCTTAAAAAGGGACTTTCAAGGTTTTGGTGCACAAGTAAAAAATTGCTGAGCACCAGTTTTTTTTAATGTGGTGATAATTTGTATTTATTAAACCATCTGCAGAGCATCTCTAACACTGTAAGGATTTAAAAAAAAACAGCAAATAAAATAGAAATGTAGGCTGTTCCCAAGCAGCGCAGAGCCTTATTAATGTCTAAAAAAATACAAAATCTATCCTGAAGACACAGAGCCAGGGCACGTTAGCTAACACTTGTAAAATGTAAATTTGTGTTCTGGTTGTCTGTTTATTTTTTTGGTGCCAGAAGGATCAAATCTCCTGCCAGAAACACTGGACACCTGGTCAGTGTGAGCGGAGCAGAAACCTGCAGCGAGTCCTGGCTGCCCGTCCGTCTCAGTGGATGCTCTGTGATAAACCTCAAGGGGCTCAGAACAACACACAGGGCGCCAGAGACGCTGCCATGTGGGGACTATTGTGACTGACACCTGTTCAGGTAAACAATGACACACACACACACACACACACACACACACACACACACACACACACACACACACACACACACACACACACACACACACACACACACACACACACACACACACACACACACACACACACACACACACACACACACACACACACACACACACACACACACACACACACACACACACACACACACACACACACACACACACACACACACACACACACACACACAGGCTCTGCCAGCGCTGACGGGACTGGAAGATGAAGTCAGTCTGTCGCTGCTGAACAAATATATGGAGAGGGGGGAGGACAGCATGTGAGTCCTGCGTTACATTTTCTAGAAACACTCAGTTAATCTGTCGAGTGAGGAGGCGGGATTAAAAACAAACAGCGTCCTGCCTCCACTCTGATGTGTGGAAGAAGCTCGCAGGCTCCATTTTGCTCAACAAACTGTAAAGATTTAAGAATTAGGAGAACAAATGTGATTGATTTTTAATTTTCCCGTAAGAACAAAAGCTCCAACTGTCCTGATCCGCCAATAAACAGAGTGTGTGTGTCATTTTCCTTCAGTGTGCGTGTGTGTGTGTGTGTGTGTGAGACACTGTTTTGGCAGATTAAAGCTGATGAATAATTAAGTCGACTTAAGAAGCTTATTAAATCCCCGGGCTACAGAGGAGGGAGAGCAACAGGAAACTGAGCCCCTAAGCCCCCATGAGACAGTCGACATACTGAGAGCTGCTGCTGAAGTCTCTCTGCTTTCTTTAATTTAAAAAAACAAAAACACAGCAGGATGGTCTGTTTGCCTTTTGTAGAAAGTGTTCAGGGAAAATAAATGTCCAAATCCTAAATACAAAAAAACTGTAGGTGCAGTCAAAGCTTAAGTGGGTGGAGCCTGTTGGTAGGATGACTTATTGAGATTTAGAGTACATGATGTCCTCATTGGATGCCTCAATGAGCGCTCACCTGTCACATGACATAAGGGCCCAAATGTTTGAACAGTAAACACTCTAAACTACAGATTCAAGACGCTGTGACTTTAAGAAGAAGAAATAAAACTCACTCTTGGCCTTCTCATTCTTGCGCGAGGGCCTCCAGCGGATGCACGACTTGTGTTCGTCCAGGAAGAAGAAGCGCACCAGTCCCTTGGAGCCGCCGCGCAGCTTCACCATCTGGGTCCCACTCTGCATGGAGCTCATACATTTCTCCACTGCAGGCGAGAAAAGAAGCCAGACACAAGAGGAGGAGAGAGAGAGAAAAAAAAAAAAGGTTAGAGAGTTGTCAGAAGGGGAAACCGCTGGAGTGTGCACTGAAACTGACAAAGACGACCCGCACTCATTCTTAAGTGTGCGTTTGTCCGTTCATTTCCATGAGTTTCTATCTCATGCATAACACACTTATTTACTCAGACATCCACATGAACACGCAGCAGTGCAAAGCCAAAAACAGCCGATATGCCTGTCACTGCCAGCAGAGTTTTGCTTGTCTCATGAGAGGAAGATGAATGACAGCGAGAGGCAATCGCTCCACAAAAAGATCCACACTTCACACGCAGACTAACACTGAACAATAACAAGGAAAAAAAATCTACAAAACCTTGAGCTTTTTTCAGATTTGAGGATTTATATCACAGCCAAAATATAAGAGAAACTCTTTGTCACCTTCCAGGACAGAAACGACATGCAGAGAGAGAGAGAGAGAGACTTTAAGGAGACCTGCCAGAGGCCGAGCTTCTCCTTGTCCTTGTCGTTATTTTGGGGCAGAATTTGACATCTTCTCCACAGGAAGCTAATTGTGACGAGCCCTGGCCCGGCTGGTGTGGACCGCCACATGCCCCTGGGCTGCAGTTACACCCTACGTGGCCATATTGTCAATTATCAAATGTTTGTCACATCCTATCAAACTATTTCCGGCAGCGTGCCATGCAGGAAATCAGGCCAACTCAGCACGCACATCCATGTCCAAATAAGGTTAGCCGATCGCCGACACACATGACGGTCAATGAAAAAGATGACATTCAAACAGTGATGTTTTAAAACCACCAGAGCTGCACGGGATGAACACTTTGATAACTGATGAATCATTAGATTATTTTGAGCAGTGAGGTCAATCGTTTGCATGTGAGTCGTTGCTCTTTTCTGTCCTTTAATGACATTAAAGACGTCACCTTGAGCTCGTGGTCATTGCAATAAGCTTAGAGAGAAGTGACATCAGAGGCTGATCGTGGTTAATCCAGGACAATTTGGTCCAAAGCACGCAGAGAGATGTTCAAAAAAGAAAACAAACACGGGATTAGCAGCAGGTGGCAGATTTCTATCTCGTTAGATTATTAGATTGGACACAAAGGAGAGTTATGTTTTCACACCAAGTCACTGCATCATTTTAATTTTCCTCACAAAATAAAATATGAAACTCTGACCTGACAGCATCAACAAAGTCTGAATGTAAACTGGAACATGTGACACCTTTAAGTAAACGTCTTGAACTCTGTGGCCTGAATGCAACACTTCCTAAATATCTGCCGTGTAAGGAGGTAATGCAAACGGAGCCAGCCGTGATGGATGGCTCTAATTGAGCATCAATTTGACCTGGCACAGGTCCCGCTGCAGAGAGCAACCCCCCCCCCGGGGTATTGTTAATGCAGTCCTCTAACCTCTGCTATCGGATTCATGCTCGAGACTGCACGTGCAACGTTACGCTTTCAGAGCGCTCAAACACAAGACGGGTGTAAAATTCAGTCAGAACACAAGAATGATGAATATAACACACACCAGTGATTGTGCAGACAGAAGGACACACTGTCGTTATTCACACAGTCGATGGTAACGTGATCGAATGAGCTGTAAATGCACAGAGTCTGAACCAGTGGCCGACCCTGTCATGACCTTTGACCCTCCTGTTAACCTGCCCTGCAGACACAGAGGGGACAATCAGCTGCTGATGGGAGGAGAGCGTTTTTTTTTATTGCACATTGCAAAGAATATGTAATGTGCAATAAAAAAAGATATGTTTCTTGTGTTGAATGAGGATAAGCTTTGAAATCATGGAGTTATTTAAAAACAAACAAAAAAAAAGGAAATGCTTTTCAGCTTGAACTTTTTTCAGTCAATAAAATACTGGAGATTGGAAATGATATAAGGTGTCTGAGTTGTTGTTTTTGAGAGTTTTAAGAATTTCATACTGATTTCATGATGACATTTTTCCAGAATAATGATGACATTACATTTCAACATTGATGATGCGTTAGTACACTCAGCCTGTTTGGGATCAATACTGCAGCCACATCAGTGTGGACGGACGGATGAATACAGCCCCCCGAGCTGCTCATTGATCCCACGAGCAGTCTGGATCTCTTTCTATCACACACACACAAACACACACACACACACACACAGACTGATATCATGTCCACTGTGACGCCACAATATGCAATTTAAAGAATAAGAAAATGAGAAGAAAGATGAGTGTTTGACTGTGAAACTGCTAAATGCACTGATTGCACATGTCCACTTCTTTTCTAATGACCACACAGTGCGGTCAGTTAGTCTCTCTTTGCTATCCTCACGTTCACATCTCACTGAGCTCTGAGCTGTCACATGAAGTCAGTCAGAGCGTCCAAGAAGAACCAGAACAAGAACAAGAACAAGAACCAGAACAAGAACCACTTATCAATTACAGAAACAAACTGGGAGTGAATGATTGCAGTTCTACCTTCAATGGGTCCAATAAAAGCAATAAAAGAAAATAAAAGAATAAATGTTGATTAAATATGAATTGCAAAATCATTCCGGGGATGTGTCGTTCAAACACAAAAGCTGCAAGAGACCAGTTGACGATGCAACGTGTGATTGGTTTTCAATGAAGTAAGAAATTATCCGGAAACATTGACCCTTCCTGATCTCACAGCTTCGACTTCTCCGCGCCACAGAAATGGCACAATGGCTGTGAGGCGGCTTTTTATTGATTGGCGAGGGGTAGAGTCCTTTTGTATATGTGCAGGCTGATTGCAGCGCCTGATGCCCAGCGGCTGTAACAGAGCTAACAGATCTGCCCTCCATCAGCCCAACAGGAGGCACTTACCCATGAAATGAGCTGCTGTCAGAGTTTGCACTGAGAGCATCCTGACTCTGCTGACTTACGGGTCAGGATGGCACAGGGCTGGAAACATTCCTCCTGACACCGGTTTAAGAGCTCATCGTGCTCCTCCTGTCAGAGCTGAACTCCACAGCCTTTCACATCCAGCACAGCCTTTCACATCCAGCACAGTCTGCCTGCTCACATCAACATCTGCTGCTATCGCTGTCTGCGTCCAGAGAGCCCCACACCCCGGCGCCTTTCACTTCTCTGATATTCAGAACGAAAGTGTCAGGCCTTCACACTCCGCAGACTAAGTGGAGATAAGTAGAGAAGAAAACAGCTGCAGACAAGTGGATTTATACGGTGGCCTGGCAGGTCAAATGACAGTAATGTTTCAGAGTATGCAAACTTTTAAAAAGAGACAAACTTTTTACAAAACAAAATTTGGTTTGGTGCAGTTTGGCGCCCACCACAGGTCTCTGAGTGCAACTGCACGACCTCAGACAATGTGCAATTTGTTTACAAATAGAGTGTCTGTTGTTTGCAAAGAATAAGCATGTGTTTGTGTATTCAGCTGTTACCATGACGACTATCAGCCGTGGCTTGAAGCTAAATTGCCGAGGCTAATTTTTTACAGGCTAGCTGAGAAAAGGTTCCAAACTCATAAAGCTAACTTAAAGATCGACGAGGATAAAGACGACTTTTTGGCGTCAGATGGATTTATTGTTGTAAATCCAGGTTTGTATCAAACCTGAGACATAACTCGGGTTAGACGAGTTACTGTTCTATTAGGTCGACTTTGAATCGACTTCTTTCAGATGGAAAAGTTACAGATTGATGCTTTGGTGGTTGGTGAATCTGATGGTGCACGGCCATCCAATCACAACCAAGAAGTGTTGTCCAACCTTCATCTGAGGTCTGAAATGTTGAGTTGTGTTTTGAGTCTTGTACTTTCAGCTCTGTTGTCAAACCGCATGCACATTTGATTTCACCGGTGTAGCGAGCGGTTAAATCTAATCAAAGCGCGACCAAAGAGACTCGCTTCAACGTGAACACACTCCAGCTGAACACAATTCACTCACACATGAGGGGGCAGGGAAAGAGGCCACGCTGCGCTCACGCTCCCCTGCCGCTCCACGGGGAAAAAAAGGAAAGTGTGTTTGCTCTGGTGCTGGAGCCGGCTGTGTGTGTGTGGGAAAACCCCAAGGGGAAGTCGACTAAATCTTTGAAAAGTGTTTTCTCCTGCACTTTACCGACTCGAAGAGAAGCTGCACGGTTTGTGGGTTTAACTCAGGGGGTCAAGTTAAATATGGCAGGAGAGGTTAGAGGTGTCTGAACGGCAAACGGCAGCGTGAAGAAACTAACATGTACGTACCAAATGTGCACAAAAAGAATATTTAAATGTCAATGTGAGCCGTGAATAATAATAATACTAACGGTGAGACTCCACATGCAGATCAAACTGCAGAGCAGCAGCCTTTTAGCAGGAACTGGTGGAAAAAAATACATTTGACCCATTTCTGAGCGTGGTAAAGGTTAGTCATAGCCTATGGAGAGCTGATTAAGCCTGGATAATGAAAACCAGTGTAATCAATTAAACAACAGTCCAGTGGTCTGGGACTCAGCTGCTGCAAAGTGGAACGGCTCCTTGTAGCGTCTATGAACCCGTCACAAATGTGCAGAAAACTCAGTTTGTTTTTCACATCTAGTCTGAGAAAACATCACAATCAACAAATAACACAACAAGAGAATCTGTTATTCTCATGCACAGTTACTTTCCAGTCGAGTGACCCATCTTGTCTTTGTTATAAATCTTTTCACTAAGTGTTATGATAACTGCATCTGAGGGATCAAAACTATAAATGTATAGACTTATTTTTGGGCTTTTTGTGCCTTTAATGGAGAGACAGGACGGTGGATAAAGTTAGAAATCAGGGAGAGAGAGAGGGGAATGACATGCGGGAAAGCGTGCACTAACCACTGCACCACCAGAGACCCTAAAGAAAGATATTTGAAAGATATCTGCATCTGTTTTTTCTGTCACTAATATCAGTATGAGTATCGGGCCCCAAAGGTCCCGTATCGGTCAGGCTCTAATTCAAACTTCACACAAATGTCATGTGATAAAAGGTT